CGCCTCGGACTCCCAAAGTGCTGGGATTATAGGCATGAGCCACCGCGCCTGGCCGGATTTTTTTTTTTTTTTTTTTGAGACTGAGTCTCGCTGTATCACCTAGGCTAGAGTGCAATGGCATGATCCTGGCTCACCACAACCTCCGTCTCCTGGGTTCAAGTGATTCTCCTGCCTCAGGCTCTGAATAGTTGAAATTACAGGCACCCATCACCACATCGGGCTAATTTTTGTATTTTTAGTAGAGATGGGGTTTCGCCATGTTGGTCAGGTGGTTCCAGCCATTTTTACACCAAATTCTGTTGTTCCAGGAACTGTCATGGTGCTGGGGGTGTATGATTTAATATGTTAGTAAGTGTATAATGAGGTCCTAGGAGGACCTGGGTCAAATCCAGAGCCATGTTGGATCCAGTTGGTCTTAGCTAGTGTGGCCCACATCCTGGTTTTCAATCCCTCTTAGACCGCTATTTACATTTTCCTTTTGCTAGTCAAGTGAAACTGCTCCCTGGAGTTTTCTGTCCTCCTGTGACTACCTTGTATCATTCCGGTCTCAATTTTTGAATGGAAGGGAATTGTTTAAGGTGTACAATTGTTTAAGGAGGCCATATGGTGTGGTGGTTGAGTCTTGGCTCCTGGGTCTCACAGATTTGTGTTCAAAGCCTGGCTTTGCCACTAACTAGCTGTGTTTTTAGGCAAATTAAACTCTCTAAGTCTCAGATTCCTAATTTGCAAAGCGAAGATAATAATAAATAATAGTTCCTGGCTCATTAGTTTATTATGAGGATTGTTTTTTTGGTAGAGACATGGTCTCCCTATGCTGCCCAGGCTGGTCTCAAACTCTTGCCCTCAAGTGATCTGGCTGCCTTGGCCTCCCAAAGTGCTGGGATTGCAGGCGTGAATCTTTACTATGAGGATTAATGCTCCTGAAGTGTTAAATAATGGTGTTTGGTACACAATAAGAATTCAATTAGGCCGGGCACAGTGGCTCATGCCCGTAATCCCAACACTTTGGGAGGCCAAGGCAGGTGGATCACGAGGTCAGAAGTTCAAGACCAGGCTGACCAACGTGGGGAAACCCCGTTTCTACTAAAAATACACAAATTAGCTGGGCATGGTGGCATTCACCTGTAATTCTAGCTAATTCAGGCTACTGAGGAGGCTGAGGCAGGAGAATTGCTTGAACCCAGGAGGCAGAGGTTGCAATGAGCTGAGATCACATGACTGCACTCCAACCTGAGCAACAGAGCGAAACTATGTCTCAAAAAAAAGAATTCAATTAATGTTGTCAGTTACTCTTAAGTGTAAATCCGGGACCAGGAAGGCAAAATGCAGGGTGTTTCTTGCAGATGGACAGTGGGGAGCCAGGACACAGCTCAGCTTACTCGTGCCCAGAGAGAAAGAGTTAAGTGGCTGACCCTGAAGGCAGGGGCCACATAGCTGTGTGGGAGCCGGATTTAGACAGTCGAGGCAGGGCAGACAGTGTGAGAAAGCTGTTGATGAGAGCTGCTGCTGAATAAAATCATCTTTCACCTGCCTAGGGCCCCCCAAGTGTTCTTTCTGCTCATCCACCCACTGCTTCCAGACCTCAACATGACCTTGGGCATAGTCTAAACCTGATACTCATAACAGTTACAGATTTCTTTGTCCCTTCACTCCCACTTTTTGAGGTAGGGTCTTGTTCTGTCACAGAGACTGGAGTGCTCTGGCATGATCACAGCTCACTGCAGCCTCCTGGGTTCAAATAATCCTCCCACTTCAGCCTCCCACGTAGCTGGGACCACAGGCACGTTCCACTACACCCAGCTACTTAAAATTGTTAAATTTTATATAGGGATGGGGTCTCCCTATGTTGCCCAGGGTAAGAATTCCTAAACTCAAATAGGCCGTTTCCTTTCAAGACTTTAGTTCATGGGCAGTTTTACAGGTGTTTCTATTTTCCCCTCAAGTGCAACAAATTGGCCCCCAGCCCAATCTGCAGAGGCAACTATGCCTTGGGGACTTATCTGATGTAGAACAAGGTCAAGAGACAGATTAAGTTGAAATGATTTGACTTTCATGATTAAGAGAGCCCTGAAGCAGAGACCTTTTGTCTGGGTCCCTGAGCAGAAGATCCAGAGATCCACACTTCCTTCTCCTGACTCAGTGGTTGTGCTAGGTAGGAACCAGAACCACTTGCTGGAAGCCTACCTTGACATACTTGAATCGATGACTGCTTTTCTTTCTTTTCCATTCTAAGCTATTGTGTTTTTATGGTTCTAAGCAGATTTTCTTGGAAACTACTAGAAAACTGCCTGCCACCTGAAAGCTGCAACTGTTTTCCTCTCTCCTGTATTTTTTGTTTACCCCACCCCAATGCTGCTGCTTTCTGGCTTCGTCATCTAAATTATTTAACTGAGGCAAATTTTCCCCATTCTTTCAGCGCCCCTGCTGCCAGACTGAGAAATTCTAGGCTTGCCCTGGACTCTCTCTTGTAGTCTCAGGCTTTTTTCTCTTTCTTTTTCATTTCCATCAGGCACCAAGTCTGTAATTTGCGTGGCTCTGATGTCAGCCCATGGATCACTGATTGACCAGGCTGAAGCCAGCGGGTCCTTCAGATCCCGAGGGATAATAGAGCAGGGAGCATTTCCACCCACACCGAGAGTCCTCATAATTGCATCAGTGCTGCACGTACCTACGTGGAAAATACAAGTCAGGCTTGGGGTTAATGGTTTCACCTCACGTCTCAGGAGCAGAGTCCTAGTGCACATGCACCTGTAGAGCCTGAACCAGCTTCACTCCAAGAGGAGCGGAGAAGGGAAGCAATTTCTCTTACTCCGCCCCTTTAATCCACAGCCACTCACAGGCTTGCTACCTGCTCTTGCTCTTGCCAAATGGGACAGAGATGAAATCTTAGAATAAAAGTTTTTGAACTCAATAAATTGTTAATTAATATCTAGGAGTGGCAGATATATAATGCTTCTCTTTTCACGACAGGTCAAAGATGAAATTTGATTATGCTTTGGAGGGCGTGGTTTGCCTCTTGAAATTCCTTGCCAGTCTTTAGAAAGCTTCGTCGCTTAGAGCACCCAAAAATGCCCTTATCTAACAGAGGGAGGCGCACTTGCCTTCCTTCATATATAGAAGCAGGAGCTGGCCTTGGGAAAATCAAACTGGTTCTGCACCATGAGGAAGAAGCAGCTTAAGATGGAGGCTGCTCCACACTGTGAGCTAAGTAAGTAGCCCAGGGAAGCTGCCCAGCTGAGCAGACCTGAAAGGGTGACAAGTGCAGCGCCAGGAATTTTATTTTTATGTTTTAATAGAATTTTATTTGTATGTTTTATAGAAGTTTTACTTTTATATTGTAAGTTCCCAAAGGAAAGGCTCTGGTCTGGAGTGATTTCATCAAACCTTTCTGAAACTCCACAGATGTAGAGAGAATCTCAGAACTAATTTGTGCATTTTCTTTTTTCTCCAGAAGAAATTCTGTGTGAAAACCAACTTGCTCCAGGAAGCCAAGTCCTCACCCCCCCACACCTTTTTTTTGGTCCCCGAGTTTGTTTGTACTTGGTACTTTATTTGGATTTTTCTCTTTGCAGCTCACGCTCCTTTCCTCATTTCTTGGACTCTCTTTCTAATGAAATGTTCTCCTAGCTGTTTTTATCTGAAGAAAGATGGTCGGTTATCTTTAATGCTGCAAGCAGTGTTGGGGGGGGGTCGGGGAGTGAGGGTGGTGGGGGGATTAATGTTTTTGGTGTTTGTAAAGGACATTGTAGAAAATTATGGTGATTTGTCAGACCATTTATTCTCCCCTCTTCACCAGTCTGGCAGTCATCTTCAGAGCAAAAGATAGGGTGTTAGGCTGAGGCTGGGGATAGAGTGGGATTGCTTTTGGGTAGGTAGGATAAAGTCTTCGGAGAATCGAGGCAGCAGGGCGAGAAGGAGGTAAACAATTTTCTACGGTGGCTTGGGAGGACACCTGAGGCTGTCGAACTGGCTGCACTAGCTGATGTTTCGCGGTTCCTCCCTCGTGTCGGGTGCTCTTGGTGGGGCAGCAGATGACTAAGCTGTGGCTCTGGAGGGGTGAGGAAATGGTCCTGCCAGGTGGCTATACTTTTTTGTCGTCCAGGCTGCAGTGAAGTGCTGTGGCACGATCTCGGCTCACTGCAACCTCCGCCTCCCAGGGTCAAGCGATTTTCCTGCCTCAGCCTCCCGAGCAGCTGGGAGTACAGGCGCGCGCCACCACGTCGAGCTAATTTTTGTATTTTTTAGTAGAGACGGGGTTTCACCGTGTTAGCCAGGAAGGTCTCCATCTACTGACCTGGTAATCTGCCTGCCTCTGCCTCCCAAAGTGCTAGGATCACAGGCGTGAGCCACCGCACCTGGCTTTACTTTTTTTTTTTTTTTTTTAAGACAGGGTTTTGCTCTGTCACCCAGGCTGGAGTGCAGTGGCACAATCTTGGGTCACTGTATCCTCCATCTCCCAGGCCCAAGTGATCCTCCCATCTCAGCCTCTTGAGTGGCTGGGACCACAGGCGGGCGCCATGATGCCTGGCTAATTTTTAATTTTTTTTGTAGAGACCCGCTCTCTCTATGTTGCCCAGGCTGGTCTCAAACTCCTGCACTCAAGTCATCCTCCGGTCTCGGTCTCCCAAAGTGCTGGGCATTACAAGTGTGAGCCTCCGCACAAATTTTCCCCATTCGTTCAGCTCCCCTCCTCCTAGATGTGAGAAATTCCAGTCTTGCCCTGGACTCTTCTCTTGTAGTCTCAGGGTTTTTTCTCTTTCTTTTTCTTTTCCATCAGGCACCAAGTCCGTAGTTTGCATGGCTCTGATGTCGGCCCGTGTCGACTCCTGGCTACTCTTTACAAGATAGAGCTATACTTCGTAGCTTCATTGTCAGTACCTAATGTGGGGCCACGGCGAACTAGGGCAGGAAACCTCTGTCCCCAGGCTGCCCGCAGGCGGGAGCTCCCCAGTCCAGGGGCTGTGCGGGTCTGGCCAGCGAAAGCAGCGGCTTTGCAGCGTGCGGCTCCCGCCGGGGGCGCTCTAGCGCCGCAGCAGCCGCCAGAGTACGCGTGGGCGGAGCCTCAGCCTTCGGTCGGCTGGCCAGGTGTCCCGGCCGCTGAGGAGACTCCAGCCAATAGGGATGTGGGGCTGCTGTCCTGTCGGCCAATCACGGGGAGGGGAGGGCGTTGGCCAGCTTGGCGCTGGCTCCGGGAATATGGAGCCTTCGGCGTGGGGGCGGCGTGTCAGGTGGTTGCGGAGCTGGTAAGGTGAGGGGAAGGCCAGGTCAGGGGTCGCCACACTCCGCTCGCGGGCAGGGAGGGGCGCGGGGCAGCTCGAGGGCAGGTGTGGGGGTCAGGCTCCGGGGCTAGGACGCGACACCAGCGCGCCGAGCGGGGCTGTGTGGGGAGGTGTGGGCTGGGAGGGCCTCAGGCCCGGAGTCAGGAGACTGAAGGAGCTGCGTTATTCGGCGGAAGACCCAAAGATGGGGCAAGGAGGGAACGCCGGAGGTCGCGGGGCCCTCTCCCCTTCCCCGCCGCGGTCTAAGACACATGGCCCAACTCCCAGCTGCACCCGATGGCGCGCCGGGCCCGTGGTCGGGGTGCGCTGACCTGCCTCGACGCCGCGAAAGAGGCGGACGGGCACAAGGCAAGGTCTCCCGCGGCCTCCTTGTTGGCGCCGCCCGAGGCCGGGCTGCTCTCCTGGACCTCCCGCCGCCCGGCTTTAACATAAGTCTCATTATAGCCTAACCGACCTCCAGCGAGCGTTTTCTATGTGAATAGCCTGGATAGGCGGCACTAGTTGTGCGTAAATTGGTTTTAGGGCTGTTTGTGCGGGTCTCAGGGACCCTCTGGATTTCAGGCTCCAATGAGCAGGGATTTTTTTGCACGAGGATATTGCACATATGTTAAGTGGGCTGGATGGCTCTCCCAGCTGTTTGTTTCGTATGTCCCTAATTTTAAAGCTACGACTTAAATGTGACATCTCTTGCAAAAACAAAAATTATGTGGAAGGACAGTTTGCAAGGGGAGATAGGCTACCAGAAACCCGCTTTAGTGACGGTGTGTGAAAACAGGAGAAGCCTGCCTTCTGGAACCCGACACCCCACCAGTTCGCATAATTTCTTGGCTTTGTAAATCTTTGAGCAAGCTGTTTGCCTCTTTGCTGTTTTGTTTCATGTACTTAAAGTGGGGATTGATAATACATCAGTCTTACAGGGTTGTTGGTATGAAATTTGTTAATAAACAACAAAGTACTTAGAACAGTTCCTGACGTGGAGCAGTTTTTGTTATTGTTACCTTCTTTCTCCTTGATATTTCTAAAGAATTCTAACCTTATTACTTATTCTTTGCTCAGAATCTCATGACCTATCACTGATGAACCCATCTGCCTATGCTTTCCATTCACATTATTAACTTTGATCTGAGGGTATAGTGCAACTGTGTGACGAGGATTTCTGCTGCGTGTTTGTTTTATTAAATACGGTTGGAAACTATCATTATACTAGGCCATTTATTGTGATACCTGTGTTGGGTAAATGAAACCTGAGACCTTAGGCTGTTTATTTTTTCATTGGCCAATATTTCATTGACAGTCTTGCTTGGCCTACACAGTTTATTTTGGAGCCAGTACCAAAAAGTCCTTGATTGCAGCATACTTGGTTTCTCATGTTTCCGGAATGTCAGTGGGACTCGGGAGGGGAATTTCTGGCTAGTCTGGCAGCACTTCTTGTTAAGGAATGGGGAAACTTCTTATGAATCTAATCTTACTCTACTGTTAGGAAATCAGCAGTTGCCCCTTGGATTACTCTACAAAGCTAGCAGGCAGCTTTGGTTCAGTTATGACTCAGTGAAAAGGTTTTTAGTCTTGTTCTGGTACTTATTGCCAGTAAGACATTTTGTATGAAGTTTTTGTTTGTTTTGGTCTCATCTCTAATAAGCTGATATCTGCTAAAACTCCTAGGAAATGAAAGGAGAAAGCTACAAGTTAGTTATTAAAAGTTTACCAGGTTTCAAATAGCAGAAGGAGGCTTGTAATATGTGTTATTTGTCTTAATTTTTCTTTGCTTTTAGGAAAAGAAACTTTGAGGAAAATACCTAAAGTTGTTAAGGTCAATCTAAATCATTTGGGGGCCACTATCCACCATTAGGAAAATGGGTTGAATGTAATCTAATGATAATTTTTCATTAGAAAAATTGTCACATTAAAAGCTACTTAAATGTGAGGGCAAAACATTTTCTGAGGCAAGCAGTAAGTATAGGCTGGTTTAATAGGGGATTTTTTTTTTTTTTTCAAAAAATTACTTTTTTTTTTTTGAGACAGAGTTTCGCTCTTGTTACCCAGGCTGGAGTGCAATGGCGCCATCTCGGCTCACCGCAACCTCCGCCTCCTGGGTTCAAGCAATTCTCCTGCCTCAGTCTCCCAAGTAACTGGGACTACAGGTGCGCACCACCATGCCCAGCTAATTTTTGTATTTTTAGTAGAGACGGGGTTTCACCTTGCTGACCAGGATTGTCTTGATCTCTTGACCTTGTGATCCACCTGCCTCAGCCTCCCAAAGTGCTGGGATTATAGGCGTGAGCCTTCGCCCCCGGCCCTTACTTTTTTTTTTTTTTTTTTTTTTTTTAAAGATGGAGTCTCACTATGTTGCCCAGGCTGGTCTTGAACTTCTGAGCTCAAGCAGTCCTGCTTCAGCCTCCCAAAGTGCTGAGTGATTACAGGTGTGAGCCACCATGGCCAGTGTAATAGGCACCTTTCTTTCTTTCTTCCCTTTCTTTCTTCTTTCTCTCCCTCTCTCTCTCTCTCTTTCTTTCTTTCTTTTTTTTTGGGAGACAGCATCTTGCTCTGTTGCCAGGCTGGAGTGTGATGGTAGGATTTCAGATCACCACAACCTCTGCCTCCTGGGTTCAAGTGATTCTTCTGCTTCAGCCTCCCGAGTAGCTGGTACTACAGGCATGTGCCATCATGCCCAGCTAATAATTTTGTATTTCTAGTAGAGATGGGGTTTCTCCGTGTTGGTCAGGCTGGTCTTGAACTCCTGACCTCAGGTGATCTTCCTGCCTCAGACTCCCAAAGTGCTGGGATTACAGGTATGAGCCACTGCGCCCGGCTGGAATTTTCTTATTTCAATAGAGAGGGTCTTGAAATTGTTCACAGAGCTTGGCATTGTCTTCCAGGATAGAGGTGTCAGGTGAGGAGGCCAGATTTGTCCCCCAAAAGGAAACACTGTGGTAAACTTCTGGTTAGGAGGAAGTTCAGAGGAGGCTCACCTTGTGAGAGTTGGGAAGAACAAAGGCGAAGCTACAGTCACTGGAATTAAGACTTCAGTGACTCTGACTCGTGAGCATTCAGGGAGATTTGGAAGCTGGTTAATCCTCAAGAGCGCTGATGGGAGAAAGTGAAGAGTTGTATTTAATGGGTACCAGTCCTTTCTAATTCTGATGTCTCTGGTTGACGAATATTTTTCTTTAAAAGATAAGCACTTCTTGACAGCCTGGCCACATTTCTCCCAACTGTTATCGTTTTTGACACCCAGACAGCTGGTTTCATTATCAACTGTACTTTTCCTCTGTACATCTTCCTCCCCCCTCTTCTTTCTTCCTAACATTTTCTCCATTTTCTCTTTTTTTTCTTTCCTTATAGATGGTCTCAATGTCAGGTTTTTCATTCAACTACAAAACGGACTTAAAAGTCCAGCTCAGGTGAGAAACAGTGAACTTAGTGTTGAGTTGAAGTTGTGGTTTTCTTTTTTTTTCTTTTCCTTTTTTTTTTTTTTTTTTTGAGATGGGGTCTTAATATGTCACTCAGACTGGAGTGCAATGGCCTGATCTCAGCCCACCACAACCTCTGTCACCCAGGCTCAAGCGATTCTCCTGCCTCAGCCTCCCAAGTAGCTGGGATTACAGGTGTGCACACTACTGGCTGGCTAGCTGTTGTATTTTTAGTAGAGATGGGGTTTCACCATGTTGGCCAGGCTGGTATTGAACTCCTAACCTCAAATGATCTACCTGCTTTGGCCTCCGAAAGTGCTGGGATTACAGGTGTGAGCTACTGTGCCCAGCCCAAAATTGTGGTTTTCTAAATTAAAAAGGATATCTCCAATATTGAGATTATTACTTGGGCATGCAAAGTACGGTTGTCCTTGGTATCTGTAGGAGATTTGTTCTAGGACCTCACTTTCATGCACATTATCCCTGGGATGATGCTCCCAAGTCCCCATAAAGTAGTGTAGTATTTGCATTTAACCTATGTACATCCTCCCATATACTTAAAATCGCCTCTAGATTAGTTATATCAATTATAATCCCCCCACTTTTTTTTTTTTTTTGTTTTAAGACAGGGTCTAGCTTTGTCATCCAAGCTGGAGTGTAGTGGTGTGGTCATGTTTCACTGCAGCCTTGACTTCCTGGGCTCAAGGGATCCTCCAACCTTAGCCTCCCAAGTAGCTGGGACTACAGGCATGTAGCCATTACACATGGCTAATTTTTAAATTTTTTGTAGAGACAGTGTCTCACTATGTAGCCCAGGCTGGTCTCAAATTTCTGGGCTGCCTCAGCCTCCCAATGTGCTGGGCAGATAATACTTAATACAATGTAATTGCTATGTAAATAATTGTTATTCTGTATTGTTTAGGGAATAATAACAAGAACAAAATGGTGTGTATATGTTCAGTATAGGCACAACCAACCATTTTTTTCCCCCAAATCTTTTTGAACTGAGTTGTTGGAAACCACAAATGTGGAACCCAGGGTTACAGAGGGCTGAGTGTTGCTCTCAGTGGTCATTATGACAGAGAGAGAGAGAGACTGGTTCATTTTAAGCACATTGTATAATAGCAGCACTGTTTGTACTTTATGAACTGGGTGTGTCTATGTGGCTTTTGGTTGAAGACATTCTCATATTACCCACTTAAGTAGAGAGGATTAGAGTTTTGAGGCCTTTTTCTAAAATGAACACTTACCATAGGGGCTTCTCACTGTTTACCATGAAGTACACATAATCAGTCTTCAACCTGACTTTTTTTTTCTGTTTATCATTTTATATCAAATTCATTTTAATAAGAGAAAACAAGATAAACTTATTGAATGTGAAAAATAATACCTCACTTGAGCCCAGGAGTTTGAGACCAGCCTAGGTAACATAGCAAGACCCCACCTTTACAAAAAAATAAAAAGCCAGCTGTGAAGGTACATGCCTGTAGTCCCAGCTACTTGGGAGGCTGAGGTGGGAGGATCCCTTGAGCCTGGGATTGCACAACTGCACTCTAGCCTAAGAGACAGCAAGACCCTGTCTCAAAAAATAAAAGGCCCGGCCACAGTGACTCACACCTGTACTCCCAGCACTTTGGGAGGCCAAGGTGGGTGAAGTTCGAGACCAGCCTGGCCAACATAGTAAAACCCCATCTCTACTAAAAATACAAAAAAAATTAGCCAGGCATGGTGGTGCGCACCTGTAGTCCCAGCTACTTGGGAGCCTGAGGCAGGAGACTCACTTGAACCTGGGAGGCAGAGGTTGTGGTGAGCCACAATCTTGCCACTGCACTGCAGCGTGGGCCACAGAACAATACTCCATCTCAAAAAATAAATAAGATAAAAAGCAGTACCAGACTTTACATCTTCAAGAACAATTTGGAAATTCACCTGTCCGTTCTAAGCTGTTTCTTTCCCCACACCCCCGATGTTAGCAGATTGAGTTTTAGAACTAATTGGAGTGGGCACGATTGCTCATACCTGTAATCCTAGCACTTTGAAAGGCTGAGGTGGATGGATCCCTTGAGCCCAAGACTTCAAGACCAGCCTAAGCAACATGGTGAAACTGTGTCTCTACAACAAATACAAAAATTGGCAGGGCATGGCACACGCCTGTAGGGAGCTACTAGGGAGGCGGGGAGGTTAAGGCTACAGTGAGCTGAGATGATATCATGTACTCCTTGCACTCCAGCCTGGACGACAGAGCAAGACCCTATCTCTAAAAAAAAAAAACCTAGTTGGATAAATATTTTTGATAGAAGACTTAGAAAATGCTGCTGCTTTGTCATCTAAAATAGAAGAACAGTGGAAGTAATAATCTCTTTTTTTAAAAAATGACTAATAACTTTTCATTAAAATACATAGGGTTCAGAAAATAATTAGCTCTGTTTGAACTGCTAGAATATTTCAAAAAGTTTTGTTGACTCAGTCATCCAAATGCAGGAGCCCACCTTTATGAAGAGTGCCTGGTACAACAAGGTGTTGTATTAGTAATACAGTAATGGTTTTGTAGGAGTGTCAAGTACTTATAGTCTTGAAGTAGACCAGTAGGGAAAATTTTAGAAGAATCTAGAAATCTTTTCATTTTCTTTTTTTTTTTTTTTTTTTTTTGAGATGGAGTTTCGCTCTTGTTACCCAGGCCGGAGTGCAATGGCGCGATCTTGGCTCACCGCAACCTCCGCCTTCTGGGTTCAAGGCAATTCTCCTGCCTCAGCCTCCTGAGTAGCTGGGATTACAGGCGTGCGCCACCATGCCCAGCTAATTTTTTTTATTTTTAGTAGAGACAGGGTTTCACCATGTTGACCAGGATGGTCTCGATCTCTTGACCTCGTGATCCACCCGCCTCGGCCTCCCAAAGTGCTGGGATTACAGGCGTGAGCCACTGCACCCGGCCACATCTTTTCATTTTTTTTAGGACAAATATATGTATATTTAAAAATCAGAATTCCTTGTTATTCTCTAATAAACATTTTGGGTGTTACTAAGCCTTGATCAGTGCACCCGACCGTTTCTCTTTTGTCACTAGCATGACTCTGGCACTGAACAGTGCCTGAGGAAGAATGAACTGAACAGGGTCAAGAGGAAGAGGTGGCTTTGCTATGTAGCTTGAACACATTCTTGCTAGCATTTATTTCATCAGTTACTTCCACGCAGATACCTTTCTGGCCACTTCTGTGAAAGTTCTTTTCTTATTTAATGTTGTCTTTGATTTTATTGAGATGAAGAAGGTGAGGGGAAAAAGGGGGAAAGAATTCAGGGACTGTGTTCAAAAACACTCCTCTCTAAACCTTACAGTTAATTTTAGGGCAACTTTTTCAGCTATAAAACTAGTGGAATGGTTTTGAGTACCTTTATTGGCTATAGGGGAATTTTATGCAAAAACAAATGATTTCAAACCCAAATTATTCATTTATTTATGACAGACATGGTCTTGCTCTGTAGCCCAGGCTGGGGTGCCCTGATCACGGCTTACTGCAGCCACAACCTTCTAGGCTCAAGCGATTTGCCCACCTCAGTCTCCCGAGTAGCACGCACCATGACGCCCTGCTACTTTTTGTATTTTTTTGTAGAGACAGGGTTTTGCCACATTGCCCAGGCTGGTCTTGAACTCCTTTGCTTGCCTTGGCCTTCTAAAATGCTAGGATTACAGGCTTGAGCCACTGCACTCAAACTTTTGTTTTAACCATAGAGAAAAAAAGTGTTGAAGTTGTATATATTTTAATATTCAGTATTTCAAACTTTCTTAGGGCAGTTTTTTTCATAGAGACAGGCTTTTGCCATGTTGGTTGGCTAGGCTGGTCTTGAACTCCTGACCTCAGATGATTGCCTGCCTCGGCCTCCCAAAATGGTGGGATTAGAGGTGTGAAACACTGCGCCTGACCCCAAGTTTTATTCTGTAGGCACTGTAATGGAACATGTTTGTTGACTAAAAGCTTTGATGAAAAGGCTGGAATTTAGAATTTGTTTTCTTTCTTGAAATAATTCATTCTTGAGATTTCAGAGAGAAGACCAAACTTTGTGTTTGATCGGCTCTGTTTGTAGTTGGTATAGGAATGAACTTAGAATATTAGTAATAATTATTTAAAATTTTATCATGAAATATTTCTGTCTAAAAATATTTGCAGAGTACAATCTTGGGAAGAACACCACACTATTACCTTAATTGTTTGCTTTTAATATATAACTTTTAAAAGCCCATTTTGGTGCCTGTTTTGGCAGCACATATACTAAATTGGAACAGTAGATTATCATGGCCCGTCTGCACAAGGATGACATACAAATTTGTGAAGTGTTCCGGACTTAAAAAAAAATGTTTGGCCCTGTGCGATGGCTCATGCCTGTAATCCCAGCACTTTGGGAGGCCAAGGTGGGTGGATGACCTGAGGTCAGGAGTTCAAGACCAGCCTGGACAACATGGCAAAACTGCATCTCTACTAAAAATACAAAAATTAGCAGGGTGTGGTAGCATGCACCTTTAATCCCAGCTACTCAGTAGGCTGAGGTGGGAGAATCCGTTGAACTGGGAGGTGGAGGTTTCGGTAAGCCAAGATCTTTGCACTCCAGCCTGGGTGAAAGAGTGAGACTTCAAATTAAAAAAAAAAATTTTTTTTTAAGGCCTGTTTTGCCTATTTTGGATAAAAATCTTCCTCAGATGGAGACTAGACATTTCTGTGTCATCTTCTTTTTTTTTTTTTGAGACGTAGTTTCGCTCTTGTTACCCAGGCTGGAGTGCAATGGCGCTATCTCAGCTCACCGCAACCTCTACCTCCTGGGTTCAGGCAATTCTCCTGCCTCAGCTTCCTGAGTAGCTAGGATTACAGGCACGCGCCACCATGCCCAGCTAATTTTTTGTATTTTTAGTAGAGACGGGTTTCACCATGTTGACTAGGATGGTCTCGATCTCTTGACCTCGTGATCCACCTGCCTTGGCCTCCCAAAGTGCTGGGATTACAAGCTTGAGCCACCTCGCCCGGCCCCATCTTCTTTTTTCTTTTAGACAAGGCCTCACTGTGTCACCCAGGCTGGAGTGCAGTGGTAGAATCACGGGTCACTGCAGCCTTGATCCCTGGGCTCAAGCAGTCCTTCTAGTTCAGTCTCCCAAGTAGCTGGCACCACAGACGTGCACTACCATACCCAGTTAATTTTCTAGTACCTTAAATAGGATATTAATCATCATTACAAAAATAATTTACAGCCTGGCCAACATGGTGAAACCCCGTCTCTACTTAAAAAAATACAAAAATTTGCTGGGGTTGGTGGTAGGTGTCTGTAATCCCAGCTACTTGGGAGGCTGAGGGAGGAGAATCACTTGAACCCAGGAAGTGAAGTTTGCAGCGAGCCGAAATTGCACCCTTGCTCTCCAGTCTAGGTGACAAGAATGAAACTCGGCCCCCCCCCCCCCACACACACACACAAAAGCAATTTAATTTGTTCATCTCATGGTGATCAGGGCCACAATTGGAAACTTGAGTTATTTTTTTTTCTTTTTTTGTGTGTGTGTGTGTGCCATCATGCCTGGCTAATTTCGAATTTATTTTTAGAAGAGACAAAGTTTCTCCATGTTGGTCAGGCTGATCTTGAACTCCTGACTTTAGGTTACCTGCCCACCTCAGCCTCCCAAAGTGTTGGGATTATAGGCGTGAGCCACCACACCTAGCTGAAACTTGAGTTATTCTACCTGTAATAATATTCTCAGAACTGATTGACTCTATAAGGAAGGGCTCTTTGCCTCATACCAAATAGCTCAAGACTAACTGATATACTTCTTGAATTTTTTGATTCCTCACTGTGCCAAGTTCCTCTTTTCCTGAAAAAGCCATGTATAGTTCCAGATCTGACTTGTGGTTTCCAATTTACTGTGGGTTAAGATAACCTGATAACATTAGCTTTTTAGAATTATATGTAAAACAAAAGTAAAAAGGCTTTGTTGAGAACTAAGGGGCTGTGATGTGATTGAAATCCAAGTGAGTACTGCTATTCTGAGCAGTCAGATATTTAAATCCCATTTAGGTGAGGTGCTGTTGTAATTGACTGAGAGAGGGGTTGAATTTAGTCACTATTATTGGGATTTGTTGGCTGATGTTTAGTCATCTGGTGGCTTAAAACCTGGCAGGAGAGACATGGCTAGTTGTTCGTTGTAATATAATACTTGGCATTGGTGACTATAGAGAGAAAGGATTATGTTTTACAAATTAGCAGGTGGTGGTATATATGCTCCAGAAGACGGATGAAACCTCAAAAGAAAAGAAAAGCTGCTTCCTGGTCTAAATTCTGTATTTCTTTTTTTTTTTTTTTTTTGAGACAAAGTCTTGCTCTGTCTCTCAGTGCTGTAGTGGGATCTCAGTTCACTGCAACCTCTGCCTCCCAGGTTCAGGTGATTCTTCTGCCTCAGCCTCCTGAGTACTTGGGACTATAGGCGCGTGCCACCACGCCCAGGCTAATTTTTGTATTTTTTAAAATTAGAGATGGGGTTTCACCATATTGGCCTGGCTAGTCTCAAACTCCTGACCTCATGATCTGCCCACCTTGGCCTCCCAAAGTGCTGGGATTATAGGCGTGAGCCACTGTGCTCAGCCTGAATTTTATAATTTTATAAGTACACAATATGTTAGTAGATAAAAAGATTACTCAGAACCCGATGCAGTAGAACATTGTTGAGACAGGAATGACATGTAAGGGACAAGGGTGGAAAACAGACTAGATTTAAGCAGTAAAAGATTATTAAGCGAGGCTTCATCACTTCTTCAGTAGGACAGTTATTACTGGGATTTAAGGAGGGGCTTATCAATAAATAACATATTGTCCTCCCCCTTCTAAATTTGAAATCATCTGAGAAGTAGATAATAAGTAGATTGAATGTTTTTTATTTTTGAGACAGAGTCTCACTCTGTTGCCCAGGCTGGAGTGCAGTGACGGGTACTTGAGTGCAATCTCGGTTCATTACAACTTCCACCTCCTGGGTTCAAGCAATTCTTCTGCCTCAGCTTCCCGAGTAGCTGGGATTAAAGGCACCTGCCACCACACCCGGCTAATTTTTTTATTTTTATAGTAGAGATGGGGTTTCACCATGCTGGCCAGGCTGGTCTCGAACTCCCAACCTCAGGCGATCGCTTGCTTCTGCCTCCGAAAGTGCTGGGATTACAGGCATGAGCCATTGTGCCCGGTCCTGAAATGTTTTTTAAAAAATAACGTTATTGGTGAGGCTGACTAGAGAATATGTTAGCAAATGAGCTTGCTAACATCCCCCCTCCCAATTAAACTTAACATGCTAATGGACATCTGGAACCTCCCCCAAACCCCCCAACCTCACCCACCCCGCTGCAGCTTGCTTAGTACTGGACCTACAGACATGCTGGCATCCTGCACACTGTGCTTAATCCTGCTGGTGCTTCAGCCCTCTTGGAGAGCTCCGGAGGGGCTCGGCCACAGGTGACTAGTTTCTTCTAGGTGTGAGAGGGTTGAGGAATGAGGTCTGGAACATTATAGCTGTAGATTTTACTTTCTCAGGAAAATTTGAGGCTGCCAAATAGAGGCCCTTCACCACCAGTATGCTTGTATGGTGCTTTTCCTCATTCTTTCTAGAAGATTGAACCATGAGCTTAAATTGCATATTTTAGACCAAAGAGAATTATAGATCTCTGTTCTTAAAAATTCATAAAATAGGCTGTGGGTGGTGGCTCACACCTGTAATTCCAGCACTTTGGGAGGCCTAGGTGGGTGGATCATGAGGTCAGGACTTCAAGACCAACCTGGCCAACATGGTAAACCGCATCTCTACTAAAAGTATAAAAATTAGCTGGGCATCGTGGCATACACCTGTAGTCCCAGCTACTCAGAAGGCTGAGGCAGGAGAATTGCTTGAACCAGGGAGGTGGAGGTTGCAGTGAGCTGAAATCGTGCCACTGCACTCCTGCCTGGGCAACAGAGTGAGACTCCATCTCAAAACAGACACAAAAAAACAAAACTCATAAAACTGGGAGAAATGTGTCCGGCTTCAGACACTTGAAATAATCTAGAGTCAAAGGCAGAGACTGGATACTTGCCTAGCAGCCTTTCTGTAGATGCTTATTGAAAAAGTATTTGCCAACTCACTAAAATCCCTCTTGTTCGGTTTGTCCACCACCCCCCACCACCCTGTCCATGAAGGGTTTCATAGTGAAAACCAGTATGCCTGCCTAAAAGAGCTGTAACACTTCAATTTAGTTTTGAAGTCTTGCCAGCAAAATCTTGACTAAGACTTTTCTATTGTTGTTAAATATTTAGTCATATTCTGAAAACTGTAATTATTTTCAAGGTTATCTAATTCAGTAGAAGAATTACTCTTTTTTTTTTTTTTGAGACGGAGTTTTGCTCTTGTTACCCAGGCTGGAGTGCAATGGCAGGATCTCGGCTCACCGCAACCTCCGCCTCCTGGGTTCAGGCAATTCTCCTGCCTCAGCTTCCTGAGTAGCTGGAATTACAGGCACGCGCAACCATGCCCAGCTAATTTTTTGTATTTTTAGTAGAGATGTGGTTTCACCATGTTTACCAGGATGGTCTTGATCTCTTGACCTCGTGATCCACCCGCCTCAGCCTCCCAAAGTGCTGGGATTACAGGCTTGAGCCACTGTGCCTGGCCCTACTCTTTTCATATTAAGGATTCAGTCATACAGAGTAACAAAAAGCTGGTTCTGAACCCGTTAGTTTGTTTTTGCTAATTCCTCTCCCTCCCTTTTCTCCTTTCCAGCATCCTATTCTAAGAACTCAGGCACTCAGCTATCCACCATGGTGTTGGGTCCTGAACAGAAGATGTCAGATGGTAATTTACAGCTTTGTGTTATTGTCTGATTTTATTTGTAATTAGGCTTATGTTGGTAACAGAAATTTATCATATTTTTCCTGCTCCATACACGTATTCTAACAACTCCATTCAAAAGCCACCATCTGGTGACTTAGGCTGTAAATGAAATTTTTTTTTTTTTTGAGGGGGAGTCTCACTCTGTCGCCCAGGTTGGAGTGCAGTGGTGCAGTCTCAGCTCACTGCAACCTCCACCTCTTGGGTTCAAGTGATTCTCCTGCCTCAGCCTCCCGAGTAGCTGGGACTAAAGACATGTGCCACAACACCTGGCTAAGTTTTGTATTTTTATCAGAGACAGCGTTTCGCCATGTCGGCCAGCCTGTTCTCAAACGCCTGACCTCAAGTGATCTGCCTGCCTCAGCCTCCCAAAGTGCTGGGATTACAAGCCTGAGCTCCCGCACCCAGCCTGAAAACAGATTTATTTAACTAGAGACCTGCTTCGTTTCTTTTTTACAATTCTGAGTTGAACCAAGATTAACTGAAATTTGGTTTGTGGCAGTAATTCTTGCAAGGGCACTATTATTCCTTAACCCAGCATAAAAACCTCTGGAGTGCTTTGGCTGCTCGTGACGCTTCCTGGTGTTTCAGATGTGTATGGAGCAGTAAAATATAGGGCGAGTACCTTATGCTCTGTATTTGCTTGGAGCTTCTTGAATGTTTTGACTATTCCTTCCTAAATCTGAGATTCTTCTTTTTTTTTTTTTTTGAGACAGAGTTTCGCTCTTGTTGCCCAAGCTGGAGTGCAATGGCACGATCTCGGCTCACCACAACCCTTCTGGGTTCAGGCAATTCTCCTGCCTCAGCCTCGTGAGTAGCTGGGATTACAGGCACGCGCCACCATGCCCAGCTAATTTTTTGTACTTTTAGTAGAGACGGGGTTTCACCATGTTGACCAGGATGGTCTCGATCTCTTGACCTCGTGATCCACCCGCCTCAGCCTCCCAAAGTGCTGGGATTACAGGCGTGAGCCACCGCACCCGGCCAAATCCGAGATTCTTCTTTGGAATTTCTGTTCCTTTTTAATAAATTTCTTTATTAATTCAAAGCCATTTAATTAAGATTATGTGAGTCAGCTCCCTATGGAAAGAAAGCTCTTACTTTTTAAAGTTAGAGATTGTAAGGATTTATTAGAAACACAGAGATTAGAGCTTTGTGATTCGAAATAGTTATTTGATGGCTGAAGCAAACTAGGCTCTGTGTATTTCTGGCAGATTACCCCTTTTCTCCCCAACCTTCTGCTTCTCAGTATTTAAGATTGACTATAAAATGCAGAACTCAGGGAAACACTGATCAGTTTGAGATGAGTCCTGCTATCACAAGGGTGCCAGTACCCCGTGACCTGTGGCACTTTATTGCAGGCCTTAGTCAGGGTACAAAGGGTTCCTGCTTGGTGGTTTTGCTGCAGCTTCAGAGTGTAGCCTGAACTGTGGCAGGATTTTGTAACTTGCACGATTTTTGAGAAGTCTGACGGAGGTATTATGTCCAAGGACAATTCTTTAAGTAAGTCTTACCAAATATAGGAGACAGGGAGGACATTTCACTAGATGGACCTAGTTCTTTTCTTTTAAAAGTTAGGATTTTAGGTTATCAGGGGCTGATCTGGGAATGTAGTTTTTTGAGCCTGTATGTCAATGTTTTTAGAGGAAAATGAAATGGCTGTAAAAATTCCCAAGTAGAAGTAGACGTGTGGAAGCAGGAAAACCATTGAGTTAAAACTGATCTAGAGAGCTAAGTGACTGGGGGAGGGGAGGGAGATAACTTTTTTAGTGTCGGCTAAAGTTTTTACTTCCTGAATTTTTAACCACGTGACTGTATTACCTATTCTAAAATATAGATTAAAAATAAACTATTCAAAAAATAAATTGAGCTAGAGTCAGGTTGGTCTCTTGTGCGTTTAGTATTAAAATATTTAATTTCAGTATACTGAGTTGTTCGTGTTTTGTTCATTTTTTACTAATTTATTTTCAAATCTTTTAATTCAGGCAGTGTTTCTGGAGAACATGATGAGTCGGCCAGTCTTGGTACCTTCAACCCTGCCTGTAGTAATCCCTCTCTTCCACAGTCCTCTGGGAACTCAGAGGATGAGTTCACCACTTACTTTAATGAGAAGATCTCCATTCCTGAGGAGGAGGTTAGTGTCAGGTCCTTGGAGGAGAACGGTGTTGTCTGTGGAAAACCTGAGAGTGAAAGATCTGCTGGATGGGATCAGCAGCCTCAGGTCTCATTTTGGCTGGCAATCTTTGAAGACTGTGTGTAAATATATCTATATAGATATAGATATACATATACATATAGATGGGGTGTGTGCATATATATACACGGACACACATACACGTACATATATATACACACACACACACACACCCCTACACCCTATCTATTTCTATATCTATATATTTTTACAGACAGGGTCTTGCTCCCTCTGTCATCTAGGTGGCAGTGCAGTGGCATAACCATATCTTACTGTAGCCTTAAACTACTGGGGTCAGGTGATCCTCCCACGTCAGCCTCCCCAGTAACTGGGACTATAGTTGGCATGCCACCATGCCAGGCTCATTATTTTTGTTTTTATTTTTAGAGACTGGATCTCACAATGTTGCCCAGGCTAGTCTTGAACTCCTGGCCTCAAGTGATCTTCCTTGATTGCTGAAGAGAAAGAGTCAAACTCTGGCTGGGCCCAGTGGCTCACGCCTGTAATCCCAGCACTTTGGAAGGCCGAGGTGAGTGGATCACCTCAGGTTAGGTGTTCAAGACGAGCCTGGTCAACATGGCAAAACCCTGTCTCTACTACAGATACAAAAGTTAGCCAGGCATAGTGGTTGGTGCCTGTAATCCCATCTGCTCGGGAGACTGAGACAGGAGAATCACTTGAGCCTGGGAGGCAGAGGCTACAGTGAGCCGAGATTGCACCACTGCACTCAAGCCTGAGCAACAGTGAGACTGCATCTCAAAACAAACAAGAAAGGGTCAAACTCTGTAAAATATTTAAAGAGGTTTATTCTGGGTCAAATATGAGTGACCAAGGCCCAGACACAGCCCCAGGAAGTCCTGAGAACATGTGCCCAAAATGGTGGGGTTACAGCTTGATTTTATACATTTTAGGGGTCAGAAGTTACAGGCCGACATCAGTCAATATATGTAAGATGTACATTGTTTCTATCAGGAAACATTGGACAACTTGAAGTGGAAAGGGGGAGCCTTTTGGGTCAAAGGTGGATTTAAAGATTTTCTGATTGGAAATTGATTGAAGCTGGGTGCAGTGGCTCATGCCTGTAATCCCAGCCCTTTGGGAGGCTGAGGCAGGTGGATCACTTGAGTCCACGAGTTCGAGACCAACTGGCCTGGGCAACATGATGAGACCTTGTCTCTACCTTAAAAAAAAAAAAAAATTAACTGGGCACAGTGTCTCACGCCTGTAATCCTAGCACTTTGGGAGACCAAGGCGGGAGGATCACCTGAAATCGGGAGTTTGAGACCACCTTGACCAACATGGAGAAACTGTCTCTACTAAAAATAGAAAATTAGCCAGGCATGGTGGTGCATGCCTGTAATCCCAGCTACTTGGGAGGCTGAGGCAGGAGAATTGCTTGAACCAGGAGGCAGAGGTTGCAGTGAGCCGAGATCGCGCCATTGTACTCCAGCCTGGGCAACAAGAGCACAACTCCATCTAAAAAAAAAAAAAAATTAGTTGGGTGTGGTTGTGCACACCTGTGGTCCCAGCTGCTTTGGAGGCTGAAGGGGAAGGATTGCTTAAGCCCAGGAGTTTGAGAGCCTGGGGAACACGGCAAAACCCCATCTCTACAAAAATAGTAAGGCAGGAAGGAAGGAGGGAGGGAGGGAGGGAGGGAAGGAAGGAAGGAAGGAAGGAAGGAAGGAAAGAAATTGGTTGAAAGAGTTATTTTCTAAAGGCCTGAAGTCAGTAGAAAGGAGTGTCTGGTCTAAAATGAGGGGTAGTGGAGACCAAGGTTTTTATTATGTAGGTGAAGCCTCTAGGTAGCTTCAGAGAAAATAGATGTAAATATCCTTTATCAGACTTAAAAAGGTACCAGACTTTTAGTTAATTCTCTGCTGGATCAGGAAAAGACCTGGAAAGGGAAGGAGATTCTTTACAGATTCTAGCTTTTGCTTATAAGGGACAGCTTTGCAGGGTCATTTCAAAATATACAAAGAAGTATATTTTGGAGTAAAATACTTGGGTTTCTTTTAGGGCCTGTTAACTGTCATGTGATGCGATATAGAGTCAGGTTGGAATTTGGCATGTTATTGCTATAAGGACTTTGTTTTGTCAGTTTTAAGATCTCTGTTTTAATGCCGGTCATTTGTGCCTGAATTCCAAAGGGAAGAGGGTATAATGAGGTTTCTCTGACCTCTCCCTCCCATCGTGGCCTCAACTAGTTTTTCCGGTTTCCTTTGGAATGCCCTTGACCATGAAGAGGATCCATTCAGTTGCTTGGAGGAGCTTAGAATTTTATTTTTGTTTACTCTCCTCAGTGTCCTGAGTAGCTGGACTATATGCACACATCACACACCACCACATCTGGTTTGTTTCCTTTTTTAAATGGTGCTCTTACCCTTTTTGGAAAGTGTCTGGGCACACAGGCAGCTGGTACTGTTCTGGTTTTTTTTTTTTTCTTTTTCTCGAGACAGAGTTTCACTCTTGCCAGGCTGGAGTGCAGTGGTGCAGTCTCGGCTCACTGCAGAATCCTCCTCCTGGGTTCAAGCGATTCTGCTGCCTCAGCCTCCTAAGTAGCCAAGATTACAAGTGTGCGCCACCATGCCCAGCTAATTTTTGTATTTTTAGTAGAGACGGGGTTTTGCCATTTTGGCCAGGATGATCTTGATCTCCTGACCTCATGATTTGCCCACCTTGGCCCAAAGTACTAGGATTACAGGCATGAGCCTCCTCACCCGGCTATTCTGGTTTTAGGAAGAGGCTGATGGAACAAACAGGTTAGGGTAGGGCTCTGACTTGGACAGAGAAGTGGCCAGCTTCTTAATAAAAAGTGGGTAAGTTGGAAGCGAAACTTGGACACATGCAATATCTGACATTGTAGATCCTTTTTTCTTGTGAAGCTGGTATTGTTGCTTCATATGTGATAACAGTTGAATAAGATCAGTAGTTTGATGATGATAATCAGTTTAATCCCTTTTCCTTTCTTGTATAGTACTCGTGTTTTAGCTTTCGGAAACTCTGGGCTTTCACTGGACCGGGCTTTCTTATGAGCATTGCCTACCTGGATCCAGGAAATATCGAATCTGATTTGCAGTCTGGAGCAGTGGCTGGATTTAAGGTGAGCATCTAGTCCTACCCCTGTCCTTTTAAACACGGAATACACCCTCACATCCTTTTCTCCACCCTGCATGTTGGTTACTAGCCTCAGGGGTACATACAAATACTTCATTGGCGGTGGCTCTTACGTGTAAAGTACTTTCCACTTGGCCTTTTATTTTATCCACATAGTTTTCTTGAACAAAGGAGAAACTGCATACAGGAGAAACTGAGGCTCAGAAAGGTACAAGGTGACCTAGCAGGTCATGTGCAAAACCTGATACAGAACTCAAATCATTTGATTCTTGACCTGGGCTCTTTTCTGAATACAGTATTTACCACTGAGTTGCCAAACAATTAAACAAAAAAATCTCAGTCGTCCAATGAGTGTTACAGGAGATTTTGTTCTTCTTAGTTGCTCTGGATCCTTCTGTTGGCCACCCTTGTGGGGCTGTTGCTCCAGCGTCTTGCAGCTAGACTGGGAGTGGTCACTGGGCTGCATCTTGCTGAAGTATGTCACCGTCAGTATCCCAAGGTGAGCAATATACTGTCTTGTTTGTCTGTCACCCGTATCGTAGGAATCTATGTGTCTGGCAGTATGTGCTGGCTGCATTCTATAGTGAGATAGTCATGGACTTGAGGGTCAGTGGCCCTGAAGACAGATGGTACCAAGGGAAATACTGTAGCTCCTCCTGGTGCCAAGCCCTGTTTTTCCCCTCCTTCAAAATCTAACTTGAGACTCCCCTTTCCTAGAAGGTTTTCTTAGAAAAACTGTGTTGGAGGTAAACATTTACCATTCACTCTACCTTCCAGTATTTAGCAATGCCCAGCCCACGGGGAGGGGGATACTCTAAGCACTTTAATTCATACCTCATTTTACTCCGTAAGTTTGCATTTTATGTATCTTCTTTTTTGTTTGACTTTGCCATCCCTTTGAAAAAGGTAAGTTTTTTTCCTTTTACTAGGAACTATATGTGGCAGGATGTTTGGATTTGCTAATAATTATTTTTCAGTTTTCGCTCCCCCTGGGGGCTACACTGTCCTCTGCAGCTTCCTTTTGGACATTTTGGGCCTTTCTTACTACTGCATAAGACAAGAATGAACTGTATGTCTAGAAGATATTTTTTACTTAGCTTTGTCTTTTGTTTCTTTTCCTGGGTGTGAGCAAAAAGTATCCTTATCTGCTTTTTAAAAAAATTAAAAAATTTTGGTAATATCCCCATTTACTATGATGTGATTTTTTATTTTTATTTTTATTTACTTTAATATTTTATTTTTTGAGATGGAGTCTCGCTCTGTCAGCCAGCCTAGAGTGCAGTGGCTTGATCTCTGGCTCACTGCAACCTCCACCTCCTGGGTTCAAGCAGTTCTCCCGCCTCAGCCTCCTGAGTAGCTGGGATTACAGGCACACGCCACCACACCTGGCTACCGGGCCCAGCTTCTGATGTGATTATTACACATTTTATGCCTGTATCAAAATAACCATATGCCCCATAAATATATACACCTACTATGTACCCACAAACATTTTAAAAAACAAACAAAAACTTGGTAATTTATAATCCTTCAGCTTCTTTTCCTTTCTTTTTTGAGACAGAGTCTTACTCTGTCACCCATGGTGGAGTGCAATGATGTGATCATGGCTCACTGGAGCTTTGATCCCAGGCTCAAGCAGTTCTCCCACTTCAGCCTCCCAAGTAGCTGGGACCACAGGTGAGCACCACCATACCTGGCTAATTAAAAAAAAATTTTTTTTTGGTAGAGATGAGGTATTGCTATGTTGCCCAGGCTGGTCTCAAGCTCCTGGGCTCAGGCAGTCCCCCTGCCATAGCTTCTCAAAGTGCTGGGACAACAGGTATGAGCCATTGCTTCTCTTTGTTCATACATGTTAATAGTTGCTTATTTTGTAATATATATTTTTTTAATACAGAGTGTTGCTCTGTTGCCCAGGCTGGACTTCAGTGGTATGATCTCAGCTCACTGCAGCCTCTGCCTCTTGCAGTCAGACAGTTCCAGTGATTCTCTTGCCTCAGCCTCCTGACTCGCTGGGATTATAGGCACGTGCCACTATGCCCGGCTAATTTTTGTATTTTTAGTAGAGATGAGGTTTCACCATGTTGGTCAGGCTGGTCTTGAACTCCCTGCCTTAGGTGATCTGCCAGCCTTGCCCTCTCAAAGTGCTGGGATTACAGCCATGAGCCACCGTGCCTGGCCTGATTTTTTTTTTTTTTTTTGTCTTGTTTTATTTTTTTGAGATGGAGCCTTGCTCCCTTGCCCAGGCTGGAGTGCAATGGCGCGATCTCAGCTGACCACAACCTCTGCCTCCTGGGTTCAAGTGATTCTCCTGCCTTAGCTTCTTGAGTAGCTGGGGACTTCAGGTGCACGTCACCACACCTGGCTAATTTTTGTATTTTTAGTAGAAACGGGGTCTTGCCACATTAGCCAGGCTGATCTTCAACTCCAGACCTTAAGGCATCCACCTGCCTCAGCCTCCCAGAGTGCTAGGATTACAGATGTGAGACACTGTGCCTGGCCTGTTTTTGTTTTTGTTTTTGAGATAGGGTCTTGCTCTATTACCTAGACTAGAGTGCAATGGCACAATCATGACTCACTGATAGCCTCATCCTCCCAGGCTCAAGCAGTTTTCCTGCCTCAGTCTCTTGAGTAGCTGGGACCACAGGCATGCACCATGATACCCAGGTATTTTTAAAATTTTTTATAGAGACAGGGCTTCACCATGTTGCCCAGGCTGGGCTTGAACTCCTGGGCTCAAGTGATCTCCCACCCCTGCCTCCCAAAGTTCAGGGATTATAGGCGTGAGCTACCATAGATGACCTGATAAATTTTTTGGATACTAGCTATCTGGAGGTGTTTTTTCTGGCTTCGGTGAGTCAGCATAACTAATGTGATTTTCAGCTGTATTGTTTGGTCAGATTAGTTTCTGACTTTGTTTTATGCCACCCAGTTCCAACCATCTTCCTTGAGTCCTTTTGCATATCTGTTCTTTTTCACTTGCTTGGTTATTATTATTACATTAAAGGTGACCCCAACCTTTTCTGTTGTGGTGATGGTGGTTTGAGACAGTCTGATTCTGTCTGTTGCCCAGTCTGGAGTGCAGTGGCATGATCACAGCTCACTGCAGCCTCAACCACTGGGGCTAAGCTGTCCTCCTGCCTCAGTCCCCTGAGTACCTGGAACTATAGGTGTACGCCACCATGCCTGGATAATTTTTGTCCTTTTTTTTTCTTTCTTCAGTTTTTATTTTAGATTTTGGGATTTATTCATGTGAAGGTTTTTTTTCTTTTTAAGTGAAAGCAAGTTTATTAAGAAAGTAAAGGAATAAAGAATGGCTTTCCATAGGCAGAGCGGCCACATGTGAAGGTTTGTTACATAGATAAACATGTCATGTGAGTTTGTTGTACGTATTACTACATCACCCATATTTCAAGTGCAGTATCGATTGGTTATCTTTTCTGCTCCTCTGTCTCCTTTTACCCTCCCCATCAAGTAGACCCCAGTGTCTCTTGTTTCTGTCTGTGTGTTCATACGTTCTTATCATCGGCCAGGTGTGCTGGCTCATGCCTATAATCCCAGCACTTTGAGAAGCTGAGGCAGGTGGGTCACGAGGTCAGGAGGAAGACCACCCTGGCTAAGATGATGAAACCCCATCTCTACTAAAAATACAAAAAAATTAGCTGGATGTGGTGGCAGACGCCTGTAATCCCAGCTACTCGGGAGGCTGAGTCAGGAGAACTGCCTGAACCCAGGAGGCGGAGATTGCGGTGAGCCGAGATTGTGCCACTGCACTCCAGCCTGGGCGACAGAAACCCCATCTCAAAAAAAAAAGTTCTAGGCTGGGCTCAGTGGCTCACGCCTATAATCCCAGCACTTTGGGAGGCTGAGGCGGGTGGATCACGAGGTCAAGAGATCGAGACCATCCTGGTCAACAAGGTGAAACCCTGTCTCTACTAAAAATACAAAGATTAGCTGGGCACGGTGGTGCGCGCCTATAGTCCCAGCTACTTGGGAGGCTGAGTCAGGAGAATTGCTTGAACCCAAAAAGGCGGAGGTTGCGGTTAGCTGAGATCGTGCCATTGCACTCCAGCCTGGGTAACAACAGCAAAACTCTGTCTCAAAAAAAAGTTCTTATTTAGCTCCCAATTTTTGTACTTTTTGTAGAGACGGGGTTTTGCCATGTTGCCCAGGCTAGTCTCAAACTCCTGGGGTCAAGGGATCTGCCCACCTTGGCATCCCAAAGTGCCTGGATTATAGATGTGAGCCACTGTGCTTGGTCAACCCCAACTTTTTCATGTTTGTTTTGTCTTCTTAGTTATGGTCAGGATAGATGTGTTGTTCTGCAATCACTTGATATTCTTTCTTGACCCATGTTTTGACCGTATTAGCATCCTTATACTCTTAACACTTTTAAGATTGTTTTTAGGCAGGAAATTAAATGGAAATTAGTAAATGGAAATTACATTCTTCTCAAGCAGAAAGGAAAAAGAAAAAAGTAAGATCGGTTACTGCCTTGACCTTGGTTCATGGGCTCTGCCACATGGTAGCACACTTTTCCTTCTCCACCTGAAAGCCGTAGTGTAGTGATTGGCCAAGTGGAGGCACATTCTCGTATTTAATCTCTGGTCTGAATGCTTATAAAGGACTGTTGATGGTTTAGTGCCAAAATGTGAATTCCAAACTGTGGAGGAAATTTTTAGAAATGATTAATCAGAACCGTGTCTTTCTACTGTTTGGTGTTTAGGTCCCACGAATCATCCTGTGGCTGATGGTGGAGTTGGCTATCATTGGCTCAGATATGCAAGAAGTCATTGGCTCAGCCATTGCCATCAATCTTCTGTCTGTAGGAAGGTGAGGGGGTTTTTCTTTAGAAAGTAATCAATGTTTCGCTGGATTTCAAAGCGAAAAGATAAAAACCCAATTCATTTTTAATTTATTTTTTATTTTTTTATTTTTACATTTTTAATTTTGAAGATTCAACTCAATTGTTATTTCTTCTGTGAAACCTTTCTGGAAAAAATGTCTTCTCTCCTGGTAGATGTAGACTGTACATCTTCCATTTCTCATGGTGGGTTGTGCTTACTTGTGTTAGAATGTGTGGTATTTTGTATCACAATTACTGATTTGTATGTCATTTTATCCCACTAGGTACTATTCTTTTTTTAAATTTTTTTTTCTCTTTTTTTGAGACGGAGTCTTTCTCCATCACCCAGGCTGGAGTGCAGTGGTATGATCTTGGCTCCACCTCCTCCATTGAAGTCATTCTTGTGCCTCAGCCTCCCAAGTAGCTGGGATTACAGGCACCTGTCACCCCATCCAGCTAATATTTGTATTTTTAGTAGAGATGGGGTTTCATCATGTTGGCTAGGCTGGTCTCTAATTCCTGACCTCAGTTCTAGGAACACCCGCCTCAGCCTCCCCAAGTGCTGCTATTATAGGTGTGAGTTACTATGCCTGGCCCCCACTAGATACTATCCATTTAATCCTATCAAATTCTGTCTATCCATCTAATTCCATGATGGTAAGACCCATACTTTTCAGCTTTGTATCCTAAGCACGACATAGTAGACCCTCAATCAAAGTTTGAATGAATATAATTAAGTTGGTGCTGTTACCCAACATTACCCAAGGCCTGGTTTTCTGCCATTGTCTCTCCCTCAAGTCCTACCTTCTCCAAGTGTCCCTTATCTGGGGAGCTGTTGGGAAGATAGTGTTTTTCAGTGTTTCCTTTCTTTCCATCTCTCTGACCTCCATTTCTTGTCTCTGACTTAGGATTCCTCTGTGGGGTGGTGTTCTCATCACTATTGCAGATACTTTTGTATTTCTCTTCTTGGACAAATACGGTAAGGAGAGTGGGAACGGTAGGGTCAGTCAAAGGAGCTCCCTCTATCATGTGGCAGATGGGGAAGTCTGCCTTCTGTGAGCTCACTGCTGTCTTTTTTCCTTTAGGCTTGCGGAAGCTAGAAGCATTTTTTGGCTTTCTCATCACTATTATGGCACTCACATTTGGATATGAGGCAAGTGGAATGGGGTATTCATTAGTTTTTTAAAACAAGTGTGTGTGTGTGTGTGTGTGTGTGTGTGTGGTGTGTGTTTAGCCTTTTATTATAGAAGACAGTAATAATGCTAGTATGGTCCAGTTATATTGGGTGTATCAGCAAAAATCCGATTTATCCGTGGGCCAATTTTGAAGGATTATGATCCATAGCAAAGATTAGTGTGTAGAAAGGCCTGCAGGGACTCCCAGGTTTAAAATGACTAGATATTTTAGGGCTTTCCAGGCTAGATTCCCAAGTTGATCCCAAGTTGACCATCTGACAACAGAACAGCCATGGAGAGGGTTAATTAAGGAGGGGGTTGCAGGGTTATTCTTGGCTGTTAACTTAGAGGAGTTCTGCTTTTGCTTATCCTGGTTTATATTAATTTCAGCTTGAACTTTCCCAATATTAAAACAGTTAATGAATTATGTGAGATATGCTGGATATTTCCTGGTTTGTGCCCCAACCCAGAAACTCCTCAGAGTCACTAACATTATTTGCAATACTAGCCCCTTTCTTTGTACAGTTCTTATAAACTGATTTCTGCTTACTCATCTGGCTGAACTTTAAAAAATATGTCTAATCTATGGGTCGATTGTGCCTCTTGGCCTAAGGCTTCCAAGAGAAATACTGAACCAGGGAAAAGTATGTATGAGAGTACTTAAGAATGAGTCTCTCAGTACATAAGTATTAGTGGCAAACATCAAGTGATTTTTAAATGAACATGGGTGAACATGCTGAGTATGGATAAAAAGTTGATTCTATATTCTTTTTTAATTTTTTTCTGAGATAGCATTTCTGTCTTCCAGGCTAGGGTGCAGTGGTACGATCTTGGCTCAATGCAACCTCTGCCTCCTGGGTTCAAGTGGTTTTTGTGCCTCAGCCTCCCAAGTAGTGTGATTGTAGGCATGTAGCATCATGCCTGGCTAACTTTTTCTATTTTTAGTTGAGACGGGGTTTCACTGTGTTGGCCAGGCTGGTCTTGAACTGCTGACCTCAAGCAATCTGCATGTGTTGTCCTCCCAAAGTACTGGGATTACAAACCTTTATTGTACGTTCTTGAGCCTGTCTCACAGGAATTACTGTGAAGCTAATAACCACAAGTCCTTTAGCAGCTTTTTTTTTTTTTTTGGAATGGAGTCTCCCTCTTTTGCCCAGGCTGGAGTGCAGTGGTGTGATCTCGGCTCACTGTAACCTCTGTCCCCTGGGTTCAAGCGATTCTCCTTCCTCAGACTCCCAAGTAACTGGGATTATAGGTGCCCGCTGCCATGCCTGGCTAATTTTTGTATTTTTCCTAGAGATGGGGTTTCACCATGTTCATAAGACTGATCTTGAACTCCTGACTTCAGGTGATCCACTCGCCTTGGCTTCCCAAAGTGCTAGGATTATAGGCATGAGCCACCATACCTGGCCTTTTTTTTGTGGGGGGGCGGACAGAAAAATGAGGGATTATAGGCATGAGCCACCATGCCTGGCCTTATTATTATTATTATTTTTTTGAGATCATGCCTAGGCTAGGGTGGCATGATCTCAGTTCACTGCAACCTCCACCGCCTGGGCTCAAGCTGTCCTTCTACCTCAGCATCCCTAGTAGCTGGGATACAAGTACACACCACCACATTGAACTAATTTTTGTATTTTTTTAGAGAGAGGGTTTCATCATGTTGCCCAGGCTGCTCTTGAACTCCTGGGCTCAAGCAATCTGCCTGTCTTGGTCTCCCAAAGTGCTGGGATTATAGGCATGAGCCGCCACCCCCAGCCCTTTCTTTAGAATATTAAGTACTTATTATACACATCTGTTTCGTATATCTAAAATACGAAGTAAACCCTCTGGATATTCAGTCTTGAATTCTCTGGCCCCTGGCAGTAAGCCTCTTATGTTGCTTGGTCCTGCGATGATTCTGTATTCCTCGTTACCCTAGGTAGTTGCAGAAGAAAAGGTTGAGGCCAGGTGTGGTGGCCTGTCCCAGCACTTTGGCTGGCTGAGGTGAGAGGATTGCTTGAGCTTGGGAGATCAAGGTTTCAGTGAGCTGTGGTCACGCCACTGCAATCCAGCCTGGGGGACAGAGCAAGATTGTATCTCAAAAACTATAGAAATAAATAAAGAAGAAGGGATTGTAAGGGGTAAAGGATGCCAAGTGTTCCCTAGTATTACATTACTTCCTTGTTTCATGTTCCCTTAAAGGCTAATCATTGTTATGTTGCTATGTAGTATGTTACAGTGAAACCCAGCCAGAGCCAGGTACTCAAGGGCATGTTCGTACCATCCTGTTCAGGCTGTAGCACTCCACAGATTGAACAGGCTGTGGGCATCGTGGGAGCTGTCATCATGCCACACAACATGTACCTGCATTCTGCCTTAGTCAAGGTGAGTAAGGCCCTTATCTCCTTCATCTCCTAGACAGTTCATGGCATCTTTTCCTTCAATTGCAAGGGACGCAAAGTTAATTTACAGTTGTTAGGACCATGAGGAGCAAGGAACTTTCCAAGGTTGGACATTTATAAACTCCATATGCTTAGACTCTGTTTTTAGCACCAAATTGACCAGATATTACTAACTGCGTAGAGAAGGTGGGACTAAAGTTCTTTTTTTTTAATTGAGATGGAGTCTCACTCTGTCACCCAAGCTGGAGTGTAGTGGCGTGATCTTGGCCCACTGCAAACTTCTGCCTCCTGTGTTCAAGCGATTCTCATGCCTCAGCCTCCCAAGTACCTGAGATTATTGGTGTGTGCCACCACACCTGGCTGATTTTTCTATTTTTAGTAGAGATGCGGTTTCACCATGTTGGCCAGGCTGGTGTCAAACTCCTGAGCTCAAGTGATGCACCAGCCTTGGCCTCCCAAAGGGCTGGGATTACAGGTGTGAGCTACTGCACCCAGCCAGGACTAAAGTTCTTCATGAAAGGTCCGAAGTGCATCAAGTCTCTTGTGTTTAAATTTCAAAAGCCTGAGTGGCCTTATGGAGGTCAGGAGTAAAGGAGCCCAAGCAGGCTTTTACCAGTCAGTATTATGTAATAATTTTCTGGGAGATTTCGGAAAGCTTTATATTAGGGACATACACACCTTAGGACTGAAATCGGTTTGTTTTTGTAGGTCAGTGGTCCTTCCAGCCACGGTAACTGAGAGCTCAGTAGTCATTTAGTCTCTGTTTCCCATTTGAGGAATGTGCAATTCCACAAAAGGGCATGAAGTTCTTTTTTTCCCCCCATATGAATTTCTTAATTGCTTAGTGAACTAGGATGTAGGCAAGTGTCGGATCGCTCACATTTTGTCTAGTCAGCTGTCTGTCCTCCAAATCTCTCAGCTGACTCTGAACTCCTGAAATGTCATAAGGAAGCTTGTTCTAACTGGTCAAAAATATGACTGCTGTTGTTATCTTTTTAGTCTAGACAGATAAACCGGAGCAATAAGCAGGAAATACGAGAAGCCAATAAGTACTTTTTCATTGAATCCTGCATTGCTCTCTTTGTTTCCTTCATCATCAACGTCTTTGTTGTCTCAGTCTTTGCTGAAGCATTTTTTGGGAAAACCAACGAGCAGGTGGTGAGTAAGCCAGGGTTATGGTGGTAGTGAATATGAGGGTAAAGTGAAGACTGCAATGGGATGGGGAAGGAAAATACCCCATCCTAGTGTTAATGTTCAGGATAAATAATCTGTAGTCTCATCTCTGCCCCCCAAAATCACCGTGCACCAGTCAGAGTCTACGGTATGGGGCTGACCAAGCCTGGACCATCTTTTTCAGATTTTGATTGGGAGTAGTCAACAAACATGAAACAGGAACTGTGATGAGGACAGACTTTGTCTTGTCATTTTGAATTCTGTATCATCTTGATTTCTGATTACCTATGTAGTGTGGTGGTTTTTTTTTTTTTTTTTTGAGATGGAGTCTTGCACTGTTGTCCAGGCTAGAGTGCAGTGGTATGATCTCAGCTCACTGCAACCTCTGCCTCCTGGGTTCAAGCGTTTCTCCTGCCTCAGCCTCCTGAATGGCTGGGATTATAGGCGCCTACCCCCACGGCCAGCTAATGTTTTATATTTTTAGTAGAGATGGGGTTTCACCACATTGGCCAGGCTGGTCTCAAACTCCTGACCTCAAGTGATCCTCCCTCCTCAGCCTCCCTGGCATGAGCCACCATGCCTGGCCTGCCCATGTAGTTTTGATCACTGTTTCCCAACTGTGGAACCTCTGACTCCTGACTGCTTTGACTAAGGATTTTATGCTGGGTGTTCTCTCATGTCTGAAGCCTTCTTCAGAGCCTCTCCTCCTGTCATCATTTAAAGTACCCTGGTGTTTGTACATTATTACCATGCACACTGTAACTCAGTAAAGATTTTTAATGACCTGTGGGTGTAGAAGGATTATAGAGGAAGATCCTAGATGACATTGCTGCCAGTCTCTGCCCACATCACAGCATATATCCAGTGTCTTCCCTCCAGCCTACCTCTCATAGATGACTGTATGATGATGTAGGAGAGCTCTTATTTGATCCTTGCTTCTGAAACAAAAGTTGCTCTTGAACTGCTTTGGGTTCTAGGTTGAAGTATGTACAAATAGCAGCAGTCCTCATGCTGGCCTCTTTCCTAACGATAACTCGACACTGGCTGTGGACATCTACAAAGGGGTAAGCATGTTCGGATTTATGATCTTTGTTCCTGAATCAATATGTTTAGCGTAGTATCTGGTCTTTTTTGTGAGTTCACTTCAGATCTGAGCATATGTTCTCTGAGTCATTTATTTCAGAGCTCCAGACACCAGACAAGCATTTTGAATTCAATGGGAAGGAATAGAGGATCAGTTGAAAAGATGCATTATACAGGCCAGGAATGGTGGCTCACGCCTGTAATGCCAGCACTTTGGAGGCTGAGGCGGGCAGATCACTGGAGTTCAGGAGTTCAAGACCAGCCTGGCCGACATGGTGAAACCTCATCTCTACTAAAAATATATATACAAAAATTAGCTGGGTGTGGTGGTGGGCGCCTGTAATCTCAGCTACTCAGGAGGCTGAGGCAGGAGAATTGCTTCAACTAGGGAGGCAGAGGTTGCAGTGAGCCGAGATTGGACCACTGCACTCCAGCCTGGGTGACAGAGTGAGACTCTGTCTTAAAAATAAAAAAAGATACAGTATACACACCAGCGCTTTGGTTTTTTTTCTTTGGAGACGGAATCTTGTTCTGTTGCCCAGGCTGGGGTGTAGTGGCTTGATCATGGCTCACTGCAGCCTCCACCTACCTGGCCCGAGTGATTTTCCCATCTTAGCCTTCTGGGTCGTGAGACTACAGGCAAGCACCACAACAGCCAGCTACTTTTTTATATTTTCTTTTTTTATCTGAGACGGAGTTTTGCTCTTATTGCCCAGGTTGGAATACAGTGGCATGATCTCAGCTCACCACAACCTCCACCTCCTGGGTTCAAGCAATTTTCCTGCCTCATCCTCCCAAGTAGCTGGGATTATAGGCATATGCCACACCAGCTAGTTTTGTATTTTTAGCAGAGATGGGATTTCTCTGTGTTGGTCAGGCTGGTCTCAAACTGCCGACCCTCAGGTGATCCACCCGCCTCCGCCTACCAAAGTGTGTGAGCCACCGTGCCCAGACTTGTATTTTTGTTTCGTAGAGTCAGGGTTTTTGCCGTGTTGCCCAGGCTGGTCTCGAACTCGTGCGCTCAAGTGATTCTCCTGCCTTGGCCTCCCAAAGGGCTGGGATTACAAGTGTGAACCACCCCACCTAGCCCCAAGAAAGTGTTCTTAGTAAAGTGTTTTTACTGGAGTCTCTCAGTCCTTTTATGCTGGTTATACTGTGATCCTCCAAAAGTAGAATGTATAATGTGTATCATTTCCCAAATTTATTTGCTATTTCCCTGTACTTCTGTTGGCATTTTCCAGAATAGTGTGTAAAGGAATGTAATTTGGGGAATTTGGTGTAGACGTCTTTTTTTTTTTTTTGAGATATAGTCTTGCTCTGTCTCCCAGGCTGGGGTGCAGTGACATGATCTCACTCCAACTCCGCCTCCCGAGTTCAAGCGATTCTCCTGCCTCAGCCTCCTGAGTAGGTGGGACTACAGGCATGCACCACCACACCAGGCTAATTTTTGCATTTTTAGTAGAGATGGGGTTTCTTCATATTGGTCAGGCTGGTCTTGACCTCCTGACCTCGTGATCTGCCCGCCTCGGCCTTCCAAAGAGCTGGAATTAGAGGTGTGAGCCACCATGCCCGGCCTTTTAAAAAAAAAAAAAAATTTTAGATGGAGGTTTAGGAGCTTGGAGAAGAGAAAGGACTAGGTAGAGAAATGAAGGCGCATTCAGTAAAGTTTAGATTGAAAGCTTCTAGAATGAGGTCAGGACTTGAGCCTAGCTTCTGGGACAGTGCCCAGCACAGCACTTGGCATGAGTGGTGCACAGCAAAGAAGAAGGGAGGAATGCCACAGGGAACTGCTGTTTTGAATGTTGTCTGAGCAGATTATTGATACAATCATATCCTTATTTTTTGCCTCTCACAGGGTGTTGTGCTGGGATGTTACTTTGGGCCTGCTGCACTCTACATTTGGGCAGTGGGGATCCTGGCTGCAGGACAGAGCTCCACGATGACAGGAACCTATTCTGGCCAGTTTGTCATGGAGGTATGTGCTAGTATAGTATAGAGGGAGATGACACACCCTTTTGTTACTTCGTTTTTTTTGTTTTTTTTTTTTTTTTGAGATGGAGTCTCACTGTTGTTGCCCACGCTAAAGTGCAATGGTGCAGTCTCAGCTCTGCGACCTTTACCTCCCAGGTTCAAGCGATTCTCCTGCCTCAGCCTCATGAGTAGCTACAATTACAGGCTCTTGCTACCACGCCTGGCTAATTTTTGTATTTTTAGTAGAGATAGGGTTTCACCATGTAAGCCAGGCTGGTCTCGAACTGCTAACCTTAGGTGATATGCCTTCCTCAGACCCTCAAAGTGTTGGGATTACAGGCGTGAGCCACTGTGCCTGGCCCCTTTTGTCACTTCTTCTTTTTTTTTTTTTTTTTTTTTTTGAGATGGAGTTTCGCTGTTGTTACCCAGACTGGAGTGCAATGGCACGATCTTGGCTCACCACAACCTCCGCTTCGTGGGTTCAAGCAATTCTCCTGCCTCAGCCTCCCAAGTAGCTGGGACTACAGGCACGCACCACCACGCCTAGCTAATTTTTGTATTTTTAGTAGAGACAGGGTTTCACCTTGTTGACCAGGATGGTCTCGATCTCTTGACCTTGTGATCCACCTGCCTCAGCCTCCCAAAGTGCTGGGATTATAGGCGTGAGCCACCGTGCCTGGCCCTTTTGTCACTTCTTTTTTTTTTTTTTTCGAGACGGAGTTTTGCTCTTGTTACCCAGGCTGGAGTGCAATGGCACCATCTCGGCTCACCACAACCTCCACCTCCTGGGTTCAGGCAGATCTCCTGACTCAGCCTCCCGAGTAGCTGGGATTACAGGTGTGCACCACCATGCCCAGCTAATTTTTTGTATTTTTAGTAGAGACGGGTTTCACTATGGTGACCAGGTTGGTCCCGATCTCTTGACCTCGTGATCCACCCGCCTCGGCCTCCCAAAGTGCTGGGATTACAGGCTTGAGCCACCGCACCTGGCCCTTTTGTCACTTCTTAATCTTGTCCTTTTGAGTTCTGTCCTGAACCTCCCCTAGATTTTTTTCTGTTTCCTGTTGCAGTCAGTCATCCTGCCTCTATGTTTTCTTCCAGGGATTCCTGAACCTTAAGTGGTCACGCTTTGCCCGAGTGGTTCTGACTCGCTCTATTGCCATTATCCCCACTCTGCTTGTTTCTGTCTTCCAAGATGTAGAGAGTCTAACAGGGATGAATGACTTCCTGAATGTTCTACAGAGCTTACAGGTGAGGAGGAAGCTGGGGAAACTCATTTCCTAGTTATTCAGGCAGCGTTATGTACTGCCCTTGGGTATGAAGCCTAGCTGGGTGCTGGGGGGATATTGAGAGGAAGACAGAGGCGTGATTGTGGTCTGCAGTAAATGTATATGAAATCCTTGGCATCTAAAAGGATTTTAGAAATGGTTTGGTTTTTAAACCTGTTGAATGGGAACTATGAGCTTTACTTATATGTAGAACACAAAACTATAGTTCATTAATGTGAGTTAACATAAATGAACATATAGGACACTGTACCAGGTCCTTTGGAGGTTAAGAGACAAGTCCCATAGAAAGGTTTTGCATGCTAGGTTAATGGCAGCTCTACAGAATTCAGTAGAATGCCTGAGTGTGTTGGGATGAGAGGAATCATGATTTCTCAAGTAGAAGTTGAGGCAGCATTTATGTTTCCCTTTCATTCATTGTGCTGTTCTCTGGGGTGATACAAGGACCCATAGTAATCCCATCTGATTTTCTTTCTTTTCCAGCTCCCCTTTGCTCTCATACCCATCCTCACATTTACAAGCCTGCGGCCAGTAATGAGTGACTTTGCCAATGGACTGTGAGTGTACTCGTCTTAGTTCCCACAGGGGAAGCTGATATGGGGAAAGGGTGTCTTTGTGCAGTAGGCCGGTCAGACATGAGACAGAGGGAAACTATATGCTTTGAGAGGTGATTGCTAGCTGTTGCTTCTTTGGCTTAGAGAATGGAAACTGTGAATACAGTAAATGAAGAGAAAGCACGTCTTTCATTTGGAGGGGGGAAAGAGTTTTATATGGCATAACTCTTCAGCTTCATCCACTGAAGTTTGAGGCACCTTAGTTCTTGTTAAATGATCTTAACAAGAAAGGCATAAGGTAGTACCTTTTATATATACCTTTAAAGGATATGAGGTATCTGAAGTGACTTGTTGAATTTCTAGGCCTTGTTGGATCTCCAGGGACTTAAATATTAGGGATTATTTAATGATGTCTTTTCCTGCCCTTTCTCTCTATCAGTATCTAATTTTAGCTGATTTAACTTAGACTTATGAAGAATGATTTTTTCAAATTAAGAACAGTTTTTTTCGTTCATTTTGAACTGCCGTTAATTCTTGTCCTGTTTACCTCACAGGATGCAGTTTGCATTTCTGTCTGTATCCACCTTGGGTTATTCCACCAGTGACTGTGCTGATTTCTTTTACAGAGGCTGGCGGATTGCAGGAGGAATCTTGGTCCTTATCATCTGTTCCATCAATATGTACTTTGTATTGGTTTATGTCCAGGAACTAGGGCATGTGGTGTTATATGTGGTGGCTGGTGTGGTCAGCGTGGCTTATCTGGGCTTTGTGTTCTACTTGGTAAGTCCCGTCTGGAAAAGCAGGGGCATAGGTGTCGGGGATGGTAGAGGTGGGGTTTACTGACATTCAGAAATGAACAGACCCAGTCCAGGCACAGTGGCTTATGCCTGTAATCCCAGCACTTTGCGAAGCTAAGGCAGGAGGCTTGCTTGAGTCCAGGAGTTAGAGACCAATCTGGGCAACATATTAAGACCCCATCTCTACCAAAAAAAAAAAAAAAAAGTGAACAAACCCAAAAGAGCACATAACAATCTACCTCCGGGTTATTGAGACAATTTATATGGAATTGTCAAATCAGCTATTTACAAAATAATATTTCTAACCATAAAATTCACTTTGGTTACTTAGATTTGTCATTTTTCTGTCACTTCTGTAGTTTCCATTCCTAACAATTCCTAACAAGAGAGTATAGTATGTTTGAGGAACTAAAAGAAGGGTAGCAATACAGACAGTGAAGAACAGTACAAGACAGAGTTGGAGAATGGGGCACAGAGTATGATATAGAGATTTGGGTGGGACACATACATGTGCACAGCCCACCCAGCTCCATCACTTACTGGCTGTCCAAGGAAATAAGTAAACAGTGACAGTCTCCTCTTGATTCTCATTCTAAAGTCATTTTTAAAAAATCATTCTTATAAAACCATAGCTACATGAAAAGGTATGTACAATTTATATTCATTAGAAAAAATTTATTTAAAGTCTAGAATAAATTATATAAAAATTGTAATATAATTGTTTTAGGCACTGTTTTAACAGAAAAACAACATAAACATCCTTGCATACCTTCTCTCATCGTTTTAACAACATAATTGATTTAGGAAGGTAGGATTATAGATATATTATTCTCTATTTTCCAAATCTTCTTTAACATTGCTTATATTAAAGAAAAACACTGAAAATAACATCAGATCCATTTCTCCTGTTTATACAGGTTTCTCTGAAAAAAAAAAAAAAAAAAAAAAAAACCAAAAAAAAAAACACAGGGGTTGGGGATAATGAATAGCAGAATTTATGCCATTTTTGCTGCAGAGAATGGCTGAAGATGGAGGCTGGAAACCTGCTGTTGAACTCTAGTACACTTCCCCATGCCAGTGTGCCACACATTAGATACTTTATTAAAAAAATCACTTTAGTAGATGTTGAAAAATTATTTCCTAGACTGATGTATCTCTTTTTTTCTTCCCAATAAACTTTGGGCACACAAAGACTGTACTGACCCTGTGATTTAGGAACTTAACTTCCAAATAACTGAATATGTCCTTGACAGGAGTTGTTTTTAAAAATTCACTGTAGGTTAGGGGGATCCTTTCATAATGCAAATTGGATATGAAGGTGCCAGTTTATCCTCCTTCAGCCTAAGGCCAGTGAGCTTGTTGAAGACCCATTATTATTATTATTATTATTATTATTATTTTTGAGACAGAGTTTTGCTCTGTTGCCCAGGCTGGAGTGCAGTGACACGATCTTAGCTCTCTGCAACCTCTGCCTCCTGGGTTCAAGCAGTTCTCCTACCTCAGCCTCCTGAGTATCTGGGACTGCAGGCACATGCTACCATGCCCAGCTAATTTTTGTATTTTTAGTAGAGATGGGGTTTCACCATGTTGGCCAGGCTGGTCTCAAACTCCTGACCTCAGATCATCCACCCACCTCAGCCTCCCATAGTGCTGGGATTACAGGAGTGAGCCACTGCGCCTGGCCTGAAGACCCGTTTTTAGAGGTGAGGGCTGATTCTAGAGTGGGTTACTGCTGTTTAACAGGAACTTCATAGAGCAGCTTAGGAGACTACACCAAATGTATTAGTTTGTTAGTCATTCTTATCATGGGGAGGACTGAGGAAATGTGCACTTCAGGAATTCACGGTTGGATAAAAGAAACAAACTACAGGCTGGACAGAGTGGCTCATGCTTGTAATCTCAGTGCTTTCGGAGACCAAGCCAGGAGGATTACTTGAGTTTAGGAGTGTGAGACCAGCCTGGGCAATATAGCAAGACCCGGTCTCTACAAAAAAAATTACATTAGCCGGGCATGGTGGTGTCCGCCTATGATCTTGGCAGTTCAGGAGGCTGAGGAGGGAGGATTGCTTGAGCCCAGGAATTCAAGGCTTCAGTGAGCTATGGTTGCTCCAGTATACTCCAGCCTGAGTGATCAGGGAGACCTTGTCTCTAAAAAGTAAAAAAAAACCAACAAAGATTATTTTAAAAAAAAAAGAAAGAAAGAAAAACCACAGACACAAAGCAGTAAGAACAGAGAAATTCAGTATTGAAAATGTATGGACAAATTTTGTTGAGGAAGGCAGATGATTTTTTGAAGGGGTGTGGGGTTGAGAGAATGACTTGTGCAACCCTTCGTGGTAGAAGATGGGCACAGCTGGATGTTCAAGGAAGGGAGCAGATTTGCATGTGAGAAGTGCTGTGTGAGCAGTCCTGGCTCTCCTAAGAGTCTGGTGAATGATGACCATATTTTGTCTTTCAGGGTTGGCAATGTTTGATTGCACTGGGCATGTCCTTCCTGGACTGCGGGCGTATGGTAAGCATCTCTAAAAGCCTGCTGACAGAAGAAGCCACTGGTGGCTACACTAAATAACACTGGATAAGTCTGTCTTCTGCAGGTAGCCATCAGAGCCAGTGTGTTTCTATGGTTTACTGTGTGAACATAGCCAAAAGTATGTGCTGTTGCACAGACTGCATTTACAACTCAACTGTTGGTTGGAAAAGACTTTGTTTCATATATGTTTGAAAGATGGAATTGTTTTTTTTTCTTCCTGACCTCCTAACCTGGGAACTGGATTAGGGCAGGATCTTTAAAACACTGACATTGGCCTGGCATGGTGGCTCACACCTGTAATGCAAGCACTTTGGAGGCTGAGGCAGGTGGATCACCTGAGGTCAGGAGTTCAAGACCAGCCCAACCAACATGGTGAAACCCTGTCTTTATAAAAAAAAAAAAAAAAAAAAAACACTAACATTTGCTGCTCTCATTCCAACACTAAACTCTGAAGTAGTTGCCCAAGGGCCAGCTCAGTTTATCCTTCTGAGAGACAAGAATATGCATGATTCTTAACCAGGCTAGATGTTAACAAAATTTGGAAAACACAATACATTTTTTGTTATACAAACTACAGAATAAGTATTCAGGTTTTATTTATCAAGATGTAATGGGTTTTTAAAAGCTGAGAATTTTTCCTTATACATATCTTTTCAATTATTTTAATTATGCAAAATCCTTGACTAGAATAGCTTAATCCATATGAAATATAAAATTAAGAGACAACTAGCTCTGTAAGGCTTAGGATTCTTTGAAGTTATTTCCTCTTTAATTTGTCAATGGAATTTAAGAGGAGTGAGAAAATAAAGGAGGTGAAAAACTGGCAACTAGCAAAACTCATCTGTAGGTGGTGCTTACTAATGATCTTCTCAGGATTTTCTTCAGAGATTGAAAAGCTTATGAGGATTTCTTGGGAGTCTTAATAACCTGCCGGTTAGTACAGAGCTTTCCTGATGATATTTACTCTTGAGCACATGTAGTTGTAAAACCTTCATTTTCCTTCTCCAGGAGGGTGGTAATATTAAAAGATGGTAATAGTTATGAACTGATGTTCTCATGAAATGTTGAAGGTGGGGAGAAAAGACTTTAAGGAGGAAGGAGAGCCATCTGTTTTGTTCCTAAAAGCCACCTCTTACCAGAATCGTCATGTTTTTCTGATGCACCACTCTACTTCATGCCCAAGATGACTCACAGGGCAATCTCAGGAGCTGTGGACTTAACCATTGCAAAGCTCAGCATTCTCAGCAAGTCAGTAGGTGTCAGTATGGTTGCAAAGTTCACTGTCTCAGCAAGGTTGAACTGGGCTACCTCTACGGCTATTTCCTCAGAGGGGAATATCTTGAGACCAGATGGTGGAGCTCTGGAGTCAGAGGAAATGGTGTCTTCAGCATGAAGCTGCTGCTCTTTCTTCAGCCACTTCTGACATTTTTACATGCGGAGCCTGAGATTGTGTGATTATCTCAAATCAAATCACTTTGATGGAGATAAATAATCAAAAGTGTTTTATAGCCATTGACTTGATGAGAACAGTAATGGGAATGGCATTGAAGGACTTCTCATTTTTGGAGCTTTCCTTTCAGAGTTCTTGTTGATTGGTGTTTTCTGTTCATCTGAGCCCCCAAAAGGATTATTACTGCACCCAGTCAAAAGCACATACTGGATGATGGTCTTTTATAAGGCATTGAAGGGTACACTACTGTGTTTCACTGACCATACATTTTTCTTAGTCCCTCAAGTACAGAGTCATGAATGTGCTTAGTCCCTCAAGCACAGAATCATGAATGACAATTCCCCTAACCATTCCTCCTCATATCTGCCTCTTCCCCTTACCATCATCATTCCCCAAACTGCTCATAAAGGCACTCCATGAAGATACTGGGGACTGACATCTTAAGCTCTCACCTGGCTGCAGTATAAAAGGCCAAACCGACAAAAAAGATTATTTATAAAGATGATACAGTAACATTTACCTTTGCCCTGGGTCTGGGTGGTCCAGTCAGTCTCAGATTCACAAGCATTTAGGAGCCTAGGTAAAAGCTGCTAGAATTCTTTTAAAAGTTATATTTATGACTTGCAACAATGGAAAAATCCTTCCCAATTAAATGGCATTTTATAATATTATGTGTGTACTTCACTGTGTTAAAAATACTCTCATATCTTATTGCGTTTGATCCTCACAGAGAGAAAGTACATTTTAACCAGCACTCTGGGTGCAATAAACAATATGTAGAAATTTAAGTCCTCTAATGCCAGCATATGCAGTGAGTTTTGGCAGTATGTTTATATGGAATGTTTAAGGATATACAATTGTACTTTATATAAATTGGTCCTTGTTCTCCTTAAATGTGACATTAAATAATTGTGGGGCTACATTATATTGGAAATTAACAGGGGAAAAGGGAAGAGCTCTTGGCTCCCCTGAGATCCTGCTAGTGGTATTAGGAGTGGTTACAACTGAGCTTTTAAGTAACCATTTAACCATATGTAAACTCAGTTTCTAATTAAAAAATTTTTTTTCTTTTTCCAATTTGGTTTCCTGGGTATTTTTTTTAACCTTGAAATAATTTATTAATAGGGTTTCAACAACTTTGACACAAGAATACTGCAACAGTAACTACCACCGGGAATGACACACTAAGCCCACACTGTTAAGATTTTCTTCTTAGAAAGAATAGAGCAATAAATGGATTTAGTCCTCAGAAGGCTTGGATTAATTGCAGTTACCAGGACATTAATTTCCATTTTCCCACTTAGTCAGATAGTTTTACCATACCTAAAAGGGTCACATCATTACCATGTTTAAACTTGGGGAAGAAAGTTTTGTTCTGTAAGAATAAAAGAAGAAAAGAAAGTTTTATTCTGTAAATTTTTCTCTAAGCTGAATATTTTCTATATGTAGTTTACTTCACTATTTTACTTTTATATTCTTTATATGCTGCCAGTGAAAATTAATATTTGAAGAGAAACCAAACTCGTTTAGCTTAAAGACCAATGAGCATTTTGGCAGACCTGATGTAAATGGAAATATTGGCACCATTTAAAAACAAAGGCAGAGCTCTGGCACAGTGAACTACTAGCCCTATTACTAGACACATGACAGGAAAACCTGAGTCAGCACTCGATTTGTCCCAGGAGTGTCACTAGAACTTCATTTTTCCTTTCTCTGTTGCAAGCCTTCCCTGTAAGTAACACAGTGGAAGTCATCTAGGGAAAATTTTGTTCTCCACGTTGTCCTTCCTCATTTAGTGCTCTTACCTTACTTTGGATTTAATTTCAGAACTAAAATAGGATGTAAAACAATGTGAGGATCCTGTATTGAAACATTTCTTTTAGCTCTGCCCTCTGGAATAACTTCTGCTCCTTCATTGGTAGGACCATCGAATCTAAATGTGTCAGCTGCTCTCAGCCCCTTAGCTTATGAATGTAAAAATGGCTAACTCATTACTGTGTTCTAGTCCTGGCCTGAACACTTGTATTATCTCATTTAATCTTTGTAACAAAAGGATCAGCCTCTATGTAGATGAGTCAAGTAGAAGGCCAAAAGTAGCTTGCTCACATTTACATTATTAAAGAAATGCGCAATTGGCATTTGAACTCGTGTAGCTTAACTACAGAACCCATGTTTTCATTCCCAGACTATCCTGTATAATACATAGTATACCCTTCACGTTGTGTTGTTTAGCAACACAAGGAACATAACACATTGAAGCATTTGTTTCATACTCTGATGAGTGCTAGAATATGCCTTAGCCAGAAGTTGCTAACTGGCAGATTTTGGCCCCTGTGCAGAAGTTTTAAAAATAAGATTGAATGCTTTTGGCAAGTGTAGAGAGTGGACAGGGCCCTCTATGGTCCTACACTAGCAATAGCCAAGAATTACTACTTAATAAGTTCACTCCTTTGCATTAGTTCTCTACCCCTGGAAGTATTTTGGCCCATTCCCATGCCATTTGGTCTCATTTCTCAATGTCTCAGAACAACAACAAACATCTCCATTGAAGGAGGTCTATCAACTAAGTCATCTAAGTGACACTGGGCCTTCCAGGTCTCATACTGCAACCCTCCTTTACTACATATTGAAGAAGTCTACCACAGCTGCTCACTTGGGAAAAGGCATCAATGAATTGTCAGTGTATTTAATTGCTGTTATTTACTTAAGACTGAATTAAGTCTAAAGAGCTGTTTCCATGCCCTAAAGCCAGTGTCATATAGTGTTTTCTTAGCCCACTAGTTGGGAATAGTTTTATCTTGGGCACCATTTGGTCTAATCACACAGTCATCACAAGCCTGTGAGGTTATACCAGGCAGTTTGTAATGTGTTACATATATCTGTTGAAGACTAACATGAGATAGTATATTAGTGTACTTGGCATTTCCTTTTTTTTTTTTTTGAAATGAAGCCTAGCTTTGTTGCCCAGGCTGGATTCCAGTGGTGCGATCTCAGTTCACTGCCACCTCCACCTCCCAGGTTCAAGTAATTCTGCCTCAGCCTCCTGAGTAGTTGGGATTACAGGTGCCCACCACCACACCTGGCTGATTTTTTTTTTTTTTTTTGAGACGTAGTTTCACTCTGTTGCCCAGGCTGGAGTGCCCAGGATCTCGGCTCGCTGCAACCTCCACTTCCTGGGTTCAAATGAGTCTCCTACCTCAGCCTCACGAGTAGCTGGGACTACAGGTGCACACCACTGTGCCCAGCTAAGTTTTGTATTTTTAAAGATGGAGTTTCACCATGTTGGCCAGGCTGGTCTCGAACTCCTGACCTCGTGATCTGCCCACCTAAGCCTCCCAAAGTGTTGGGATTACAGGTGTGAGCCACTGTGCCTGGCTGTACTTGGCATTTTCAAATGTAGCATTTCTTCACATTTTACAAGTAAGTAGAATAAGACTCCAAAAGTTTGTGACATGCTGAAGGCCATAACAAGTGGTAGAATTAAGGGCTTGAACTCAACTCCAGTGCCTTTCCATTATACTAAAATAGGATAGTTGCTGCCAATAAATTTATAGTCTGCACTCTGCATTAACTTACAGGCTGTTGGTGCCATGGGATAATTAATAAAAGCTCTAAGTAATAATAGTAGGGCTAAAATGAGACTCAAAGTTGTCCCATGATATATTTGAGGGAGAGAAAAAGTAAAAATAACTTCACAGCTAGCCTGGGAAACATGGCAAAACCCTGTCGACAAAAAAATTAGCTTACTGTGTGGTGGCACACACCTGTAGTCCCAGCTGCTTGGGAGGCCAAGATGGGAGGATGGCTGAAGTCCCGGAAGCAGAGGTTCCATGCAGTGAGCCAAGATTTTGTCATTAGCACTGCAGCGTGGGCGACATAGTGAGACCCACGCTCTACAAAAATAATGATAATAACTTCACAGGTCCCAACACAAATCATCTAGACTCAGTTCTTTAGGAGTGGAGTCTGGAATTGTGTGTGTGTGTGTGTGTGTGTGTGTGTGTGTGTGTGTGTGTGTGTTTTTGTTTGTTTTTGAGATGGAGTCTTGCTCTGTCACCCAGGCTGGAGTGCAGTGGCACAATTTCCTCTCACTGCAACCTCTGCCTCCTGAGTTCAAGTGATTCTCCTGCCTCAGTCTCCAGAATAGCTGGGATTACAGGCATGTGCCACCATGCCCCAATAATTTTTGTATTTTTAGAAGAGGAGGGGTTTCGCCATGTTGGCCAGACTGGTCTTGAACTTCTGACCTCAGGTGATCCACCTGCCTCGGCCTCCCACAGTGCTGGAATTAGAGACATGAGCCACCATGCCCAGTTGGTATTGTGTTTCATTTATCATTTATTTATTTTTTTTTTTGAAATGGAGTCTCTCTTTTGCCAGGCTGGAGTGCAGTGACACGATCTTGGCTCACTGCAGTCTCCACCTCCTGGGTTCAAGCGATTCTCCTGCCTCAGTCTCCTGAGTAGCTGGAGACTGCCACACTCAGCTAATTTTTTTGTATTTTAAGTAGAGACAGGGCTTCACCATGTTGGCCAAGATGGTTTCCATCTCCTGACCTCGTGATCTACTCACCTTGGCCTCCCAAAGAGCTGGGATTACAGGCATGAACTGCCGCACCCAGCCTGGAGTTGTGTTTTAAAAGCAGCTTCAGAGATGCTGATTCAGCGTGACAAACATTTGGGACCCATAGGTCATCTTTCTCTCTCTTAGTAACTGCTATTTCATGTTTTTGTTTTATAAATGAAAGGCTTTTCTCTGCTCCAGTTCCAAAGGATAATAGGGCCAGAATTAATTGAGATGGTTGGAAATTTGATTTCTAACTCACACAGTAGTAAAATAGAAAAGCATTGTGCATGTTTGCTCTTATCCTGATTTGAAGCACCCATCCTGAGGTAGTGTGTCACAGGAATCATCAGTGCTAATTTTGCTGAGGACATTTGACACCATCTCAGTCTTTAACTAATCAGCTCCTACATATCAGCTTCTGCATATCAGAAACCATTCATGTATGTATGTACAAGCTGTTTCCTTTCTGAAATAAAAATCAATATAGCAGTACGGAAAAAAGGCCTAAATTGATGTGCTAATTACAGGTACTTAAATGCTGATTTCAATAAATACATGAAAATCAGTCTAATCCTCTTCCATCTTTTTTTTCCTTAGTACCATCTGGGATTGACAGCTCAGCCTGAACTCTATCTTCTGAACACCATGGATGCTGACTCACTGGTGCCTAGATGACTGACGGCCTGAGAGACTATATGAGAACAAGTTTCTCTAAGCCCCTTTGTGCCAAGTGTCCTGTTAACATCTCTGTTAGTTCAGAGGTGAGTTTTGTTCAGACGTTTTGAACAAAAGGCCAAGATTTCCTCATGGGAAGGGTGTTCAAAGCTGACGGCTATAAATGTAGGTCAGAGACCCACACGCCTCACAACAGTCACACACTCCCAGAGTTAAATGATGGGCCTCTGGTGGCCACACACCCCTATGGGCTTGTGTCTTGGACTCTGGGATTTAAAAAATATATATGTATATATAATTACGTAAACCTGAGCATCTCAGTTTGGGTAAAGTGTTAAGGTTATATGAAACTGATAGAGCTTTTGTATTTTTTTAAAAAAATTTTGTTTAGATAAATCAGATATTTGTTTTCTCTGGATCACAAGTGAGAAAGGAAAGAGAATAATGCCCTTTTTCACAATGAACTGGTCAAATTGACTATCTTGTAAAGTGATATTTTACTATGTAAGTTAAATTTCACTTTGATCGTAATGGACCAGATAAAATCTTTGGTATCTATTGATATTAACACATCATTTCTTAAAAAAAAATTTTCTCTATTTGGCGATCATAATTAACCCAGGTTATCAGCCTGTTTCGTAACTATTGTCTTTGTTGTCACTTTTCTTGAATTGTTTTCTAGTCATTAAACAAATATGAAGGCATTTGCCAAAGAGCTTTAATACCCAGTAACAAGATCCAGAGACCATACTTTAATCAGTGATCAGTTTTCCGTGCTGCATTGTAACTCAGCTCATTCTGGCATTCAAGTTTTAGGCAGAAAAAGAAGAAACTCCTCACATTTAACTTGTAAGGCCTGACATAAGATAGTGAAGATATTAATCTTCTTTCTAATATTTGTATAGTTCTCAGTTTAGTTTCTTCTCACTATTCCCATCAACACGCCAAACATCATTTCTAGGTCCAAAGTCTGTTTCTAGGAGTGGCTAATATTTGTATTGTTGAAACTCTTAGGGAATGCCAAATATTTTACTTTAAAATATTCAGCACTTTGGGAGGTCGAGGTGGGCAGATCACGAGGTCAGGAGTTTGAGACCAGCCTGGCCAACATGGTGAAACACTGTCTCTACTAAAAATACAAAACTTAGCCGGGCATAGGGGAGGGTGCCTGTAATCCCAGCTACTCAGGAGGCTGAGGCAGGAGAATCATTTGAACCCTGGAGGCAGAGATTGCAGTGAGCCGAGACTGTGCTATTGCACTCCAGCCTGGGCAACAGAAATAAAAATCTATACCAAGTAGCACGAGATTAGTACTAGACTGAGATTTGGAAGATTAGTCCACATATGACAAACTGCTTGCCTACACCTATAGATTGTTTTTTTCAGCCATCTTCCTAACCACAAATTTGTTTCCTTAATTTTGTTATTGTTGTCTGTTGTTTTTTTGAGACAGAGTCTTGCCCTGTTGCCCAGGTGGGAATGCAGAGACGTGATCTCAGTTCACTGCAACCTCCATCTCCAGGGTTTAAATGATTCTTCTCCTTCAGCTTCCTAAATAGCTGGGATTGCAGGCACACCCCACCACACCAGCTAATTTTTATATTTTTAGTAGAGATAGGGTTTTACCACGTTGGCCAGCTGGTCTCACACTCCTGACCTCAAGTGATCGGCCTTACTCAGACTCCCAAAGTGCTGGGATTATAGGTATGACCCACTGTGCCCAGCCTTTTTTTGTTGTTTTTAAGACAGGGTCTTGCTTTGTTGCCCAGGCCGGAGTGGAGTGGTGTGATCTCAGCTCACTGCAACTTCTGCCTCCTGGGCTCAAGCCATCCACCCACTTCAGCCTACCAGGTAGCTGGGACAGCAGGCACACACCACCATGCCTACCTAGTTTTCGTATTTTTTGTAGAGATGAGGTTTCACCATGATGCCCAGGCCAGTCTTGAACTCGTGAGCACAAGCAGTCGGCCAGCCTTGGCCTCCCAAAGTGCTGGGATTATGGGCATGAGCCACCGCCTCCAGCCCACTCCTCATTTCTTTCTAGCCCCAAACGTGTTGAGTCTGCAAATCCTGCAGCCTTTGTGTGACGTGGAGCATCACTTTCCCCTTTCAGCATTAAATATGTGACCTCTCTGCCTTATTTCTGAACTTACTACATTTCAATAAAACTTTTTAAAAATCCAGACATTGCCTATCTTTATTTAGAATTGTTTGGCCCTTAAAATGGCAGGAATTTTCCTAAAATGACACTTTAAAATTTTCTCATTTCTACTTCAGGGCCTCTTGAAACTTCAGATAAAAAGAGCAGCCAACCCTGCAACTTAGGTTATAGTCATGATCTAAAAATTGAGACAGAATTAACATCAATTTACGCTTTTACTTGAGAAAGAGACTCTTAGAATAAGTTTCAGTGTTTTGGTTTCTTGATAAAAGAAAACAACTCCAGATGAACCAGTTTGTTGGATTTCCCCCACTTCTCTGGGCAGTTTTATTTCTCGGTAGTTTCATTACCAGAGAGTGTTGGGGGAAAGGAAGGTAAAAAATAAAAACATCCTGTGATGAAACTCATAGAAAGGTGTGGTGGTTGGTTCAATACTTACGGAATTTCTATAGCTCTTTTCCATTCCTTAACTGTATGTTACTAGGAACAGAGAATACACGTTTACAAGTGTACCCTTCAGGCCACACAACTCCTGTAATCAGAAAATTTCTTAATAAAGGACACAGGCCGGGTGCTGTGGCTCATTCCTATAATCCCAGCACTTTGGGAAAGGCCAAGGTGGGTGGATCACAAGGTCAGGAGTTTGAGACCAGCCTGACCAACATGGTGAAACCCCATCTCTACTAAAAATACAAAAATTAGCTGGGCTTGGTGGTGCACACCTGTAAAACAGGCTACTCAGGAGGCTGAGGCAGGAGAATCGCTTGAACATGGGAGGCGGAGGTTGCAGTAAGCCGAGATTGCACCACTGCACTCCAGCCTAGCAACAGAATGAGACTCCATCTCAAAAAAAAAAAGTCTTGGGTAAGCTTTTTTTCTTTTTCTTTCTGTTTTTTTTTTTTTTTTTTTAAGATGGAGTCTCGCTCTTGTTGCTCAGGCTGGAGTGCAATGGCACAATCTCGGCTCACTGCAACCTCTGCCTCCTGGATTCAAATGATTCTCCTGTCTCAGCTTCCTGAGTAGCTGGGATTACAGGCATGCACCACCACACCTGCCTAATTTTGTATGTTTAGTAGAGACAGGGTTTCTCCATGTTGGTCAGGCTGGTCGTGAACTCCCAACCTTAGGTAATCCACCCACCTCAGCCTCCCAAAGTGCTGGGATTATAGGCATGAGCCACTGCACTCAACTGAGTAAGCTTTTTTCTAAGTTAAGAATATTTAATCACTCCAATTTGTGGTATACAAATCTGGATTACTATAAGTGTACTTATACAAATATGAATATATTCAATCTTAAGAAAAAACTGAGTACATTTACTTAATTTCTGGAGTTCAACACTATGGAGTCAGTCTATAAAAGAATGCTCTGACAATGTATAAACAGAATGTCAGGAAAAAGTGCAATTAAGTAATTGTTACTGAGCAGTCGCTGCTACATAGCTGTGTGCCAGCCTCATATAAAAGGCAGGCAGAGTGTATATGCATATGAAGTAGTTTCATTAATAAGAGAGGCGGGGTTGTAGTTGCTGAAACACATAGCCTTCTCAGTTTCAGACATTACAACACAAGGCCAGTAAAGCTTTGCCCAGGAAGTCTTTTGCAAAGTCACATATTGTTATGTTATGTTTATAGGGTCTTCATGCAGTGACCCCTCTTACTTTACCCAAGCTGAAGTGGGTAAATTCACATCCTGCATACTTCCTAACTTTTCTCCAAATGTGATTTTATATTTTAATTTAAACACAGTTTGTAGGTTCTCATGCATAGCTATTCTTAACAAATGAAAACTTTGCCTTTTTCAAGCAACAAGTATATTACTTTAGCTCTCTCAGAGTAACATTACAAAATTGTGGAACCTATTGGGTTTTGTAAGAAAAGCTAATTTCTAATTAAACTCTTAATTATTTTTAGTGCTGAGTATATATTGAGAAGGTAGAATCTTTCCAGTAGCCTGGTTAGAAATACTTTTCATTGCAACCAACATGAAAGGATGGTTTATTTCTATGCCAGCTGTCCTCAATTTTCCTGACCTTAATGGAACATATTAGATCCAGCTGCTGGAATATTTACTCTAATGGAATAAGGCATTTGGATTATTTCCTTGCCTATTTTCCAAAGAGGACAGTGTTGACCAAAATATGTGTACTTGTTGGTAGCACTAGAAGAACTTCATGATAGGTATAATTGACAGCTTTTTTTTTTTTTTTTTTTAAGACGGAGTCTTGCTCTGTCCCCAGGCTGGAGTTCGATGGTGTGATCTCAGCTCACTACAGCCTACACCTCCTGGTTCAAGCAATTCTCCTGCCTTAGCCTCCCGAGTAGCTAGGATTACAGGCATGTGCCATCACGCCCGGCTAATTTTTTATTTCTAGTAGATACAGGGTTTCTCCATGTTGGTCAGGCTGGTCTTGCACTTTTGACCTCAGGTGATCCACCCACCTCAGCCTCCCAAAGTGCTGGGATTACAGGCATGAGCCACCATGCCCAGCCGTTGACAACTTTTAAAATAATTATCTGTGCCAGTGGAGAAAAATTTATATAACACACAGAACAGTGAGTTAATACCCAGAATGCAGACATTTTCATGTTTTTCTTGTCCACAAATACCGGACTTCACCTTCTTGTCAGTGTCACCCTCCATTGCAGGAAACACTGAGGAAAAGGAAATCACCACCAGAAATCATCTTATATTGCATATATTCTTGATTTTACTTCAGTGACTTTTTTTTTTCTGTTCTAGGCTTGAATTCTTTGGGATTAAGCTTAAAGCAGTTATGTCTTCAAAAAACCCTAGATGATTTTTTAGATCCTGAGGGCAGTTAGACAGGAGTTCAAGGCCACGGGCATACTTAACCTTTAACATCTGCTTTGATTTCCTGTGTTTTCTACAGTGTCGTATCACATTAGCAATAGCACTTCTAAATCCTTTTTGCCATCTCAGGGAAAAGAAATTTGTTTGTAGTTCACTTTTGTATTCCTAGGAATACTTTGAAGAAAATCTAAAAATGAATAAATAATTAAATGTTAAACATGTGTTTGGGGTAAAATAGGCAATTTTCTATGTAAGAATGAGATGTAAAGTGGTGAACAACTTTATATAGCAACATGACCATTCTCCTCTGCTGTAATAATTACCCATTCTAAAAAGGAGTTTATGAAACCTTAATTACTTTGGCCTGTTTGGGGAGAATTAAGTTATGAATAGGATGTCACATTTAACATAGATATAGAAAAGTCTGGCCTGGTGTGGTGGCTCACGCCTATAATCCCAGCACTTTGGGAGGCCAAGGCAGGTGGATCACGAGGTCAAGAGATCGAGACCATTCTGGTCAACAAGGTGAAACCCCGTCTCTACTAAAAATACAAAAATTAGCTTGGCATGGTGGTGCGTGCTTGTAGTCCCAGCTACTCGGGAGGCTGAGACAGGAGAATCGCTTGAACCTGAGAGGTGGAGGTTGCAGTGAGCTGAGATCATACCACTGCACTCCAGCCTGGGCCATAGAACAAGACTCCATCTCAGAAAAAATAAATAAATAAAAGAGAAGTCTTCTGTAACTACTATATATCTATTAATTTTCAGATTGCTTTGGCAGACTATCATTAGTTTGACTGATTACTAAAAAATTTTTTTAAAAAATTAAGTCAGAAAATCATGCCCTAGGTTCTGAAAGACATCAATAAGAGATATTTCTGAGTTGACTGTTTATGATTGTAGATCTGGAAATCAGCTTCAAACATTGAGACTTGAAGTACATGAGCATTCCGTGATACTTCTGTAGTAAAATTTGCTACATATTAAAAATTTACTCTTGATAATAAATCGTTTTCAGAAGCTTTTTGTCTTTCTTGCTTCCAGCATGTAGCTTCATTTTTTGGACTCATTGAAGAATCTAGGTCTAATGTGATCCTTATACATAGAGTAGGGAACACCTAGAAACAGAAAGTTATATATCAATTGAGTATCCATGGGGAAAAATTTGAATCTCTTCCATTTGTTGTACTGAATTTCTTCCATTTGTTGTATTTTTATGAAACTAGCCTACAATTTAAACAGAAACAAACAAAGGCCCCCCTTTTTATTAGTTTTTGGTTTGGATCATACAAGTGACTCTAGAAAAATACAAAACTCTAGGAGCCCTTTACAATGAATACTAATAAATTTATGATGTTATTGTGCCACCAAAATATTGGTGAAATATTAGGAAAGTGGGCAAGTTTGACCAGATGTTAAGATAAAAATAGTAATAAAAGATAGCAAACATTTATTCAGTCTTTGCTTGTACTTGGTATCTTGAGGAAAACAAATGGTGAATGGATCTAATTCCTGCTTCTAGGGAATTTATGATCTACTGGGTGAATTGCCTGTGAGTTTAGATGGATGATATGTATGGCTTCCACAGAGTCCTAGGCATGCAGAAAGGGGGAAGTAGCTGGGGGAAATAAGATGAGGAAGAGAGGAGCTGCTTTAGTGAGTTCCAAGGATGTCAGCAAATGTTGACACCCAAAAGCAAGTTAGGGAGTCACAGATTTAAACTACAACTCACATACCACCACCACCAGCCCATACCCATCTCAGTTATCAAGGTATCAGATTTCAAAATTAGATCTCTCTTCTGAGTGTGAAACCCATATATTCATTATTGTACATATGACTTTTTTTTTTTTTTGAGATGGAGTCTCTCTCTCGTCACCCAGGCTGGAGTGGTGCAATAGCGTGATCTCAGTTCACTGCAACCTCAGCCTCCCAGGTTCAAGCAATTCTCCTGCCTCAGGCTCCCGAGTAACTGGGATGAAAGGCACCCACCACCAAGCCCAGCTAATTTTTGTATTTTTAGTAGAGATAGGATTTTGCCATGTTGGCCAGGCTGGTCTTGAACTCCTGACCTGAGGTGATCCACTCGCTTTGGCTTCCCAAAGTGCTGGGGTTACAGGTGTGAGCCACTGTGCCTGGCCTTACATATGACATTTCCACATCACATAGGTAGACGGTCTCCAAACTTTCCAAATTTACTTAAGTAATTATGTTGAGCATGCCTCTCAAAATGTGCATTCATTTATTTTTGAGACAGTCTTGCTCTGTCTCGCCCAGGCTGGTTTGCAGTGGCACAGTCTTGGCTCACTGCAGCCTCCACCTCCCAGATTCAAGCAGTTCTCCTGTCTCAGCCTTCTGAGTAGCTGGAGCTATAGGTGTGTGCCACCACACCCGAGTAATTTTGTATTTTTGGTAGAGACAGGGTTTTACTATGTTGCCAGGCTGGTCTCAAATTCCTGGCCTCAGGTGATCCACCTGCCTCTACCTCCCAAAGTGCTAGGATTATAGGTGTGAGCCATTGTGCCAGGCCAAACTGTGCATTTATTTATAAACAATATAAATGCAGGTGGGTGGTGGGGGTTTATGCCTGTAATCCCAGCACTTTGGAAGGCCAAGGGAGGAGGATTACTTAAGGGTAGGAGTTAGAGACTAGGCTAGTTAAAATAGCAAGACTCATCTCTACCATAAAATTTAAAAAATTAGGGCTGGGCATGGTGGCTCATGCCTGTAATTCCAGCACTTTGGGAGGCTGAGGCGGGTGGATCACCTGAGGTCAGGAGTTCAAACCAGCCTGGCCAACATGGCGAAACCCTGTCTCTACTAAGAATACAAAAATTAGCCATGCACAGTGGCAGGTGCCTGTAATTCCAGCTACTCGGGAGGCTGAGGCATGGGAATTGCTTGAATCTGGGAAGCAGAGGTTGCAGTGAGCCGAGTTTGTGCCATTGCACTCCAGCCTGGGTGACAGAGTGAGACTTCGTCTCAAAAAAGAAATGGAACATTCACAAGGAATCTTCTGTTGATGTGTAAAAAGAAAAGAAAAGAAAAAAAAACAGAACAAAAAAATTAGCTGGGCATGGTGGTGCATGCCTATCATCCTAGCTACTAGGGAAGCTGGGGTGGGAGGATCACTTGAGCCCAGGAATTTAAGGCTACAGTGAACCATGATTGTACCACTGCACTCCAGCCTGGATGACAGAGCAAGACCTTGTCTCCCCAAAGAAAAAAAATCGGTGGAACTGGCTGGAGTAGAGATTACTGTAAGTTGGGAGGCAGTGAGTCTGCCTCATCTTTTTGTGAGTTCTAGCTCATCCTTGCAAATTCCAGTTTATCTTTCTTTCCTTCTCAACTGTTGATTTGCTGACTTCAGGCCCCAGTATTAGAAACATAAGCAACAGCCTCATGTGGACTGTTTAGCCAACTCCAAAATGTTTTAAGGTCATATCACTGTAATAACTCCCTTCTCCTCCTGTCTCTTCCTTTTCATTCTCCTGCTTCTCCTCCTGTCTCTTCCTTTTCATTCTCCTGCTTCTCCTCCTCTTCATCCTTCTCCTTCTCCTCCTCCTCCTTTTGTTATTATTATTATTATTATTTGAGACAATGTCTCGCTCTGTGACCAAGGCTCACTGCAGCCTCGACCTTCTGGGTTCAAGCCATCCTCTCATCTCAGCCTCCTGAGTAGCTGGGACCACAGGTGGATGTGACCTGCCTGGTTAACTTCTTAATTTTTTATAGAGATGGGTATTTGCCATATTGCCCAGACTGGTCTCAAACTTATGGGCTCAAGTGATCCTCCTGCCTCGGACTCCCATACAGGTGTGAGCCACCACACCCAGTCTAAATTGCTTTTTATATATCACTACTAGTAGTTTTGCTTGTCTGAATCCTGACTGATATAGTTTGGAATTAGAAGTGCTTCCAGAGGAGCAGAACCATGATAGATTCTCTGAAGTGGTTTTGGGTTACTCAGAATTGGTTCTCTGATCCATTTAGATTTAAAGGCATTAATGGCCATGTTTTCAGTTATAAAGAAAATACTAACAGTTCATGCGATGTAAGAGTAATATAGTTTCTTCAATTATCACCCATTAGGCCAGGCGTGGTGGCTAATGCCTGTCATCCTAGCACTTTGGGAGGCTGAGGCGGGAGGATCACTTGAGGTCAGGAGTTCAATACCAGCTTAGACAATGAAGTGAGAACCTTGTTTCTACAAAAAATAAAGGCCGGGCCCAGTGGCTCATGCCCACAATCCCAGCACTTTGAGAGGCTGAGGCAGGTGGACCATTTGAGGTTGACCTCCTGACCTCAAGTGATGCCCCCACCTCAGCCTTCCAAAGTGCTGGGATTACAGGGGTGACCCACCACACCTGGCCTACTTTCCTTTTCTAATTCCTTTCCCTGCTCACTTCAGGCCGATGCTCCAGAATCATATGCAAGGGCCTCATAGTTATATAAGTCTAAATACCTGTAATAAATCCCTCACTAAATATTACTACTAGTAGTTTTGCTTTTCTCATCAAACACTGATTCACCTACCAAGCTATGTAGTTTTCCACTTACATGCTGTGCTTCTATGCCTTTGTTTTTTCCTCTGCCTAGAATCCTGAGCTCCTTCTCTGCTTAGTTAATTCCTCCTTATTCTTAGTTCAGCACGTGATTTACATCCTTAGAGAAGCCTCCCCTGGCCTCCCAGCCCTTGTTAAATACCACTCCCTATGTTTGTGCTACCATAGCAAACTGTGCTATTTCTTTCTTTTTTTTTTTTTTGAGACAGAGACTTGCTCTGATGCTCAGGCTGGAGTGCAGTGGTGTGATCTCAGCTCACTGCAACCTCCACCTCCCAGGTTCAAGTGATTCTTCTGCCTCAGCCTCCTGAGTAGCTGGGACTACAAGTGCACGCCACCACACCTGGCTAATTTTTTATTTTTAGTAGAGGTGGGTGTTGGCCAGGCTGGTCTTGAACTCCTGACCTCAAGTGATCTGCCCCCCTCAGCCTTCCAAAGTGTTCGGATTACAGGCAAGAGCTACCACACCCAGCTTTTTTTTTTCTTCTTCAGATGGAGCTTCACTCTTGTTGCCCAGGCTGGAATGCAATGGTACAATCTCAGCTCACTGCAACCTCCACTTCTCAGGTTCAAGTGATTGTCCTGCTTTAGCCTCCCTCGTAGCTGGGATTACAGGCATGTGCCACCACCCAGCTTTTTTTTGTTGTTGTTTTGTATTTTTTTTTATTTCTTTTCTTTGTTTTTTTTTTTTTTTTTTTTTTTTTTTTTTTTTTAGAGAGAGAAAAAGAGAAAAAGAAGGGGAAAAAAAGAAAAAGAGGGAAAAAGGAATATTACTTCATTCCTAAAATGGGTTTCAATATGGCCGATCAATATTTTGAGTGTTTAAAGTGGTTAATGCATATTTTATGTGTTTAAAATGGAGACCTCTATTGTGTTTATTTGTTCTGGCTCTGAGTTCAAGTCCTGGGTATCGTTATCAATTTGTTGTCTCGTTGAATCTAAATCTCATTATGTGTCTTATGTATCTGGGTGTTAAGATCTCTTATTGTTACATTAATCCTTTTACCCTTGTAGCTTTGAAATCTATTTTATTGTGTGAGAATTGCAACTCCTGCTTTTTATTTATTTATTTTTGCTCTCCATTTAGTTGGTGAGTTTTTTTCCATACCCTTGTTTTGAGTCTTTGTATATCTTCAGATATATCGTTAGATTTTGTGGATAATGTATATTTTGTGTGTTTAAAATGGAGAGCTCTATTGAGTTTATTTGTTCTGGATCTTAGTTCCAGTCCCGGGTATCGTTATCAATTTGTTGTCTCGTTGAATCTAAATCTCATTATGGGTCTTATGTATCTTATGTTAAGATCTCTTATTATTACATTATTCCTTTTACCCTTGTATCCTTGTAGCTTTGAAATCTATTTTGTCAAATGTGAAAATTGCAACTCCTGCTTCTTATTTATTTATTTTTGCTCTCCATTTGGTTGGTACGTTTTTTTTTTTTTTTTTTTCCAACCTTTATTTTGAGTCTATGTATATCTTTGGATATACCGTTAGATTTTGTCTGTATCTTTTGATTGGGAGATTTGGTCGATTTAAATTTAGGGTTGCTGCCATTTGTTATTAACTGGCTATTTTGTCCTTTCGTTGATAAAAATTCTTCTTTATGTTAATGCTCTTTACTTTTTGGTGTATTTTTAGAAAGGGTCATACTGGTTGTTCCTTTCTGTGTATAATGCTTCTTTTAGAAGTTCTTGTAAAGCAGGCCTGGTGGTAATAAAATCTCTGAGTACTTGCTTGTTCCTAAAAGATTTTATTTTTCCTTCAAATGTAAAGCTTAAATTGGCAGGATATGAAATTCTGGGCTGAAAGTTCTGTTGATTAAGTATATTGAATATTGGCCCCCACTCTCTTCTAGCTTGTAGGGTTTCCGTCGAGAGATCTGCTGTAAGCCTAATAGGCTTACCTCTATGGGTAACTTGATCTTTCTCTCTGGCTGCCCTTAATATTTTCTCCTTCGTTTCGATCTTGGTGAATCTAATGATTATGTGTCTTGGGGTTGGTCTTCTTGAGGAATATCTTTGTGGTGTTCTCTGTATTGCCTGGGGTTGAATAGTGTCCTGCTTTGCTAAATTAGGAAAATTTTCCTGGATAATGTCCTGGAGAGTATTTTCCAGCTTGACTTCATTCTCTCCGTCACATTCAGGTACACCAATCAAGCGTATATTAGGTCTTTTCACATAGTCCCATATTGCTTGGAGACTTTGCTCATTCCTTTTTATCCTTTTTTCTCTATTCTTGTCTTGTCGTTTTGTTTCATTAAGTTGGTCTTCTACCTCTGATACCCTTTCTTCTGCTTGATCCATTCGGCTGTTTAAGCTTGTACATGTTTCACTAAGTTCTCGTGTTGTATTTTTCAACTCCATAAGTTCATTTGTATTCCTCTCTATATTGTCTATTCTTTTCAACATTTCATCTAACCTTTCTTCCAAGTTCTTAGTTTCTTTACATTGGGTTAGAACAAGTTCTTTTAACTCCCAGAAGTTTCTTATCATCCACCTTTTAAAGCCGACTTCAGATAATGGAACACAGTCCTTTTCCATCAGGGCTTGTTCCGTTACTGATGAGTCCTCTTCCATCAGGGCTTGTTCGGTTGCTGATGAGTCCTTTTCCATCAGGGCTTGTTCCGTTGCTGATGGGTTCTGATTTTGAGTATACTCGGCCTTCTTAGGCTGTTTTTTTCCCTTCATTGTAAATGAACCGCCTTTCTAATTAGTTTACTGAGTCGACGTCCGACTTATTGATTCCCAGTGCTGGGATCCGAGCAACCCACTGTGGCAGCCTAAATAGCAGCGATAAGACTGATGGTGCTCTTCTGCCCGGGAATCTCTGGTCTGGCTTCCCTCTTGAGTCCGCAACAAGCGGCTCTGACTTCCTGGAGCTCCAAACTCCGGTCAGTAGGGGAAGCAGTCCCGTTGGCTCTGCATGAAGAGCTGCTGCGCCGAGACGCTGGCAAAACCGCTGTGGCGGCCACAGGAATCGCGCTGGCGACCCGTGGGGCTCCTCCACTGGGAATCGGCTCATTGGTGAGTGATGAAAATTCGTCTAATGATGTGGCGTCGTCTCGTTCTCTGAGCTTTCACTGGGAGCTACAATCCTGAGCTGTTAGTGGTCGGCCATCTTCTGTATTTTTTTTTAAATAGAGACAGGGTTTCACCATGCTGGCCAGGCTGGTCTTGAACTCCTGACCTTAGGTGATCTGCCCGCCTCAGCCTCCCAAAGTTGTGGGATCATAGGTGTGAGCCACCGTGCCCAGCCAGCCTGTGCTATTTCTGTCACAGCATCTATAACTTTATATTGTCTCCTTCCTTTCTTGGTCTGTCTCCCTAAAGCGACTAAACTATTTAAGGGTAAGGACTGAGTCATATTTCTAGACGGTGTCTGGCACATAGCAGGTGTTCAATAAATGTTTGCTGAATGATGAAAATGAGGACTGTAACTTTGCAGTAAGTTTTCCTGTACTTGGAGCACATTACAGCTCACAGTAATAAGATCGTCACCATAAAACTTTCCTTGCAGGCCCCACACCCAGCATTCTATAATCTCCAGTCTACTCTTAGGATGACTCTACTCTGCACAGCATGAAGGGGACCTAAGGATATTGTGACCTGTTCTCATTAATGTAGACCAAACGAATTTAGATTAATTCAGGTTCTAAAATGGACTTCTTTGAACTATCTGATTTAGCTGTGGGTATAATCTGAATTAATGAAGATAATTTTATACCTTTTCTTTGGATTTGACTGGTAGGTCTTGCTTAATTTATGGACTAATAAAAAAAGATTTGCCTATTGCTCAAACTTGGAATGAAAGAAGAAGGGAGTTGAGATGTGTGGACTCTAAAAATGGCTTCTTCCTAGTTTAATTAATAACTGCATTTGCTGTTCAAATAGGCTGGGAAATATGATCGCTGCTCTTAGCCACGAGGTGGATCACAGCCACAATATAGGCTGTGAGCTATCCATAACTGCTGCTCTTGAGTTATAGGATAGGAACTATTCACCACTTCGTTCACTAAAGAGACTAACAGACAGCCCATTGCCCTGGTTCTCTACCATGGGTTTTGTCAGTTTTTGTCAGCTGCAGTCCTAAAAAATTAGGTGCACAAATGGGCCCCAACATCAACTAAGGGAAGATCAGTCTTTCCCACCTCTCTCTCATTGTATCATTGTGACCAGTAATCATCATCTACTATGAATGAATAAAGTAAGTAAATGTACTCTCAAGGACAGCTGAACATAAGGTACAAATAAAGCAGGTTACCTAGAGCTCCGACAACAAATCCTTGGGCAGCAACTCTCATGTGAATAAGATGAAGTGACATTTTCTGATCTCTTCTATACTTTAATTTGTAAAGACCATAGGACACCACAGTCACAAAGCCTGCTATACCTGTGAATTGTAAAACTATAGGTTATTTGGAAGGCTGAGGCAGGAGCATCGCTTGAGACCAGGAGTTTGAGAACAGCCTGGGCAACACAGCAAGACCCTCATCCCTACAAAAAATTAAAAATTAGCCAGGCACGGTGATGCACACCTGTAGTCCCAGCTACTCAGGAGGTTGAGGTAGGAGGATCCTGGTGACCCCAGGAATTCAAGGCTCAGGGAGCTATGATTGCACCACTGCATTCCAGCCTGGGTGACAGAGCGAGACCCTGTCTCTTAGAAAGAAAATGTATGGGCTAAATACACAGCAGGCAAGAATTTTCAAGTGCTTAAAGAGTTAAATAAAGAATGTCTAAAGGATAAGAACCTGGAAGATAAGCAGGGAAGACTTTAAGAAGGAACATTTTTCAGTGTAAACCTATGTAACCTGCATGTTTTGCACATGTACCCCAGAACTTAAAGTACAATTTAAAAAAAAAGAAACAAAAACATTTTTCAAAGAACCAAGCTGGATTTGATCTACCAGATTTTAAAATGAGCCCTTAATATTCTTGGGTCCAATATTTGCAGTTTTGACTCTTCCCAGAAAAATTAGGACCATATAGTATAGTAACTTGTCTAGCCATATGTGATTTCCTGAGGAATGATTTCAAATTGTGTGTACTACAAGGTTATTATCTGTGGCAAGTCACTTAGCCAGCAAGGGAACTAACCCAACATCTCAGTACCCACAGCTTTTGAGTATTTGGCTTTTTACTCTTCTTTTCCCGTTACCAAATAAGGAATAAATCAATAGTGATTAAAAAATTTGTTCTTCTGTATAAAGTGAAACAATACACTTTAGTGAGAGGTACGAATATATGCACAAGAAGCATAACTCTGGCAAGAACTGTGATTCTAGAAAAGTTGAGAAGGCTATACAAATATTTCTATATTTCCTACAAATGTCAAGGGGTGAATATACTGCTATGACAACCAGGATTCTATGTCACTGGCTCTAAAACAAAGAACATCAACTAAATAGGAAAGATTCTAGAAAAGGATTTAAAACACCGAGAAGTGAATCCGTGACAAAATAAAAATAGCCAAATAACAGATACTGGGCCAGGTGTGGTGGCTCATGTCTATAATCCCAGCACTTTGGGAGGCCGAGGTGGGTAGATCACTCGAGGTCAGGAGTTTTAGACCAGCCTGGCCAACATGGTGAAACCCCGTCTCCACTAAAAATACAACAAAATTAGCCAGGCATGCTGGTACAAGCCTGTAATCCCAACTACTTGGGAGGCTGACACAGGAGAATCACTTGAACCTGGGAGGTGGAGGTTGCAGTGAGCTGAGATCGTGGCATTGCACTCTAGCCTGGGCGACAGAGTAAGACTTCGTCTCAAAACAACAAATGAACAAACCAACAGAAAAACCCACCAGATAGTGGAATAATTTAATAAATGCCATAAGTACAACCTGTTGGTATAGAGAAGAACTAACTTGGATTTGTATTTCACATCAGACCCTGAAAAAAAAATTTTTTTGGATAAGTAAGAGTTAAATGCAAACACAATTTTTATCTCTTGACACCTGTGAGCGGCCATCTTGCTCCTGCCCTGACAGATTCTCCTATCAGGGGTCACAGGAACGCTAAAATTGCTGTCTGGATCTTCGCTGACCATGCTGTCCCGGGTGGTACTTTCTTCTGCTGCCACAGCGGCCCCCTCTCTGAAGAATGCAGCCTTCTTAGGTCCAGGGGTATTGCAAGCAACAAGGACCTTTCACACAGGGCAGCCACACCTTGCCCCTGTACCACCTCTTCCTGAATATGGAGGAAAAGTTCGTCATGGACTGATCCCTGAGGAATTCTTTCAGTATCCTTATCCTAAAACTGGTGTAACAGGCCCTATATGCTTGGAACTGGGCTTATTTTGTATGCTTTATCCAGAGAAATATATGTGATTACTGGAGAGACCATCACTGGCCTAGCAGTAATAGGGTTATATATCTTTGGAGTTAAAAAATGTGGTCCTCCTGTTGCAGCATTTGCTGATAAACTCAATGAGCAAAACCTTGCCCAACTGGAAGAAGCAAAGCAGGCTTCCATCAAACAAATCCAGGATGCAGTTGATGCGGAGAGGGCACAGCAGGCACTGGTTCAGAAGCGCCATTACCTTTTTGATGTGCAGAGGAATAACATTGCTCTGGCTTTGGAGGTTACTTACCGGGAACGACTGCATAGGGTATATAAGGAAGTAAAGAATCGCCTGGACTATCAAATAGCTGTGCAGAACATGATGCGTCGAAAGGAACAAGAGCACATGATAAATTGGGTGGAGAAGCATGTAGTGCAGAGCATCTCTGCACAGCAGGAGAAGGAGACAATTGCCAAGTGCATTGCTGGCAAAGAAGCTGGTAGCAAAGAAGGCTCAAGCACAGCCAGTTATGTAAATGTATTTATTCCAATTGAGACAGCTAGAAAGTTGACTGACTAAATGGAAACGAGTCTATTTGACAAAATCTTTCTGTATTGGTGTCTACTGAAATTATGGTTTACCTCTCCTAAAAATGAAAAGTTTGTTTTAAATAGTGAGAGAACGGAGGCCGGGCGCGGTGGCTCAAGCCTGTAATCCCAGCACTTTGGGAGGCCGAGGCGGGTGGATCACGAGGTCAACAGATCGAGACCATCCTGGTCAACATGGTGAAACCCCATCTCTACTAAAAATTACAAAAAAATTAGCTGGGCACGGTGGTGCGTGCCTGTAATCCCAGCTACTCAGGAGGCTGAGGCAGGAGAATTGCCTGAACCCAGGATGCAGAGGTTGCGGTGAGCCGAGATCACGCCATTGCACTCCAGCCTGGGTAACAAGAGCGAAACTCCGTCTCAATAAATAAATAAATAAATAAATAGTGAGAGAACGAAATCTCTATCTGCCAGTCAACTATTTCTCATCCTTCTTACTCTACATTTGAGTTATTCTGTGATCACGTCTGTATAAGCAGTTTGCCTTTATAAAAACTTGCTGCCTGACTAAAGATTACCACGTTATAGTTTAAATTTGTAATTAATTCTACCATCTTGCAATCAAGTAAGGTTTTTCAAGTTGTATAAGTCTCTGAAATACTCAGCTTTTGTCATATAGGTCAAAATTAAAGATGTCATTGAACTACTATCTTGTTTATGAGACTATCCAGTGGTGAATTATTTCTGGCTGATATATATAAAGCTTTGCAGTACTCTTAAAATAACCAAATGGAATATTGTATATCAAAAAAAATTAAATGCAAAACAAAACAAAAATATAACAGGAACAAAAACTGAAGAAAATAAAATAGCATATTTATAACATCTATAAGAGGGCATGGTAGACGTAATAGAATATGACAATGAGAAAACATTTGCATAGTAAACATATGAGTCTGTTTTTTCTTTGGAGACAGAGTCTCATTCTCTTGCTGGAATGCAGTGGCGCAATCTCAGCTCACTGCAACCTCCACCTCCCAGGTTCAAGTGATTCTCGTGCCTCACCCTCCCTAGTAGCTGGGATTACAGACATGCACCACCACACCTGGCTAACTTGTATTTTTAGTAGAGATGGGTCTCGATATGTTGGCCAGGCTGCCTTGAACTCCTGGCCCCAAGTGACCTGCCCGCCACAGCCTCCTGAAATGCTGGGATTATAAGCGTGAGCCACTGTGCCCAGCCTTTGGATTCTCTATTCTGTCCCATTGATCTATGCATCTGACCTTCCATCAGTACCACACCATGTTGATTACTGTAGCAATATAGTAAGCCTTAATATCAGCCAGAGTGATTCTTTCTACTTTATCTTTTTTAAAAAAAGATTATTTTAGCTTTTCTAGGACTTGTGCCTTTCCCTATAAGTTTTAGAGTAAGTTTGGTTATATCTACAAAAACCCTTGCTGGGGTTTTGACAGGAATGACATTAAGCCTATAGATCAATTTGCAGAGAATCGACGTCTTTACTAATATACTGTGCCTTCCAATTCATGAACACAGGGTCAGATGTGGTAACTCACACCTGTAATGCAGGCACTTTGGGAGGCTGAGGCAGGTGTATCATTTGAGGTCAGGAGTTTGGGACCAGCCTGGCTAAAATGGTGAAACCCTGCTTCTACTGAACAAACACACACACACACCCTCAAATTCATGAACATAGTAGTCTCTCCTTTTTTTTTTTGAGACAGAATCTCACTCTGTTGTCCAGGGTGGAGTGCAGTGGTGTGATCTCAGCTCACTGCAGCCTCCACCTCTTGAGTTCAAGTGATTCTCATGCCTCAGTCTCCTGAGTAGTTGAGATTACAGGTGTGCGCCACCACGCCTGGCTAATGTTTATATTTTTAGTAGAGACGGGATGTCACCATCTTGGCCAGGCTGGTATTGAAACTCCCGATTTCAAGTGATCCACCCGCCTTTGCCTCCTAAAATGCTGAGATTACAGGCATGAGCCACCTTGCCCAGCCTACCAAATTTTATTATTATTTATTTATTAGCAAAAGCTGGGCTCTCTTCCCTTAATCAAATCAGAGTTGTTTTTATTTAAATTGATTTTGTTTCTTTTCAAGATTAAAGCCAGAACCTTTACTGTTTTCCATATAGTGTCTCTAGTGTGTTTATAATTGCATTTAGCTGGAAACTCTTATCCTTCCACTTTAATCACCCTTAATGTCTCTGGAAAAATAATTTAATGTACAACAGGCACAGTGATTAATCTCTGTTCATTATAGTGATCTGTTCACGTAGCCTTGTGTTTTTGAATTGTTTTTCTAGTTAAAAATGCTAAGGAAGATAAATCACTATGAAATTATTTGCTTCCATTTCTTATGGGTGCTACTACAAGTCTTAAATGAAACTTCTAAACAATATTACTGCAAAGTAAAATTTGATTCTTTTTTGACGTGTGAATAATGACACTTAGAAAGTAGCTAGAGTCACAGTAACACTTGATGGGAACATCTGGCATACCTATTTAGAAGTTTTTATGGAATTAATATTTTTGCAAACTTAGTCTGATTTAAGTAAATTATTTTAATAGTTTCCAGACAAAATGAACACAAGGAAACAGGCATGGCTGAAGTATACATCCATGGAGAAGAAAGCAAGAGCTCAGACTTTAAAACATAATATTGCTGCTTAGGTTTTGTGGCATTTTTTAAGTCCACATACATAGAGTACTTGTTGAAAACATAAACATACTAAATATGTGTGGGGAAAGCATAAAGAAGCTAAGGCATAGATCATTAAGTGATCAGGTTATAGTACCTCTCTTTTTTATTTTGAAACAGAGTTTTGCTCTGCACCCAGGCTAGAGTGCAGTAGCGTGATCTCGGCTCACTGCAACCTCCTCCTCCTGGGTTCAAGTGATTCTGGTGCCTCAGCCTCCTGAGTAGCTGGGATTACGGGCACATGCCACCATACCTGGCTAATTTTTTGTATTTTTAGTAGAGATTGGGTTTTACCATGTCGGCCAGGCTGGTCTCAAACTTCTGACCTCAAGCTATCTACCCACCTCAGCCTCCCAAAGTGCTGAGATACAGGCATGAGCCACCTTGCCCAGCCTAATTATAGTATCACTTTTTTAGTCCAGAATTTATTTTGCCATCAAACTCAACATCTGGAGCACACCAGGAAGCCAGCATAGAGAGCCACTGAGCAGCCAAAATGACCTCTACGAAGTTCATGCTCATAAGTGTTCAGATAGGTCCAGGCTTTTACTCAGAGCTTTCCTCTGAATTGACCCACAGTTCTTTCAAGCTTGGATATATAGCTTCTGGTGCCACAGAACATTAAAAACATTAGACGCAGAAGTTTTGGTTTTTTGTTTGTTTGTTTGTGAGACAGGGCCTCACTATGCCACCCATGCTGAAGTGCAGTGGTGTGATCTTGGTTTACTGCAACCTGTACTCCCAAGCTCAAGCAATCCTCCCACCTCGGCCTCCCAAAGTGCTGGGATTACAGGCATGAGCCACCATGCCTGGCCTAGAAACAGAAGTTTGTTTGTTTGTTTGTTTGTTTTGGAGACAGAGTTTTGCTCTTGATACCCAGGCCGGAGTGCAATGGCACGATCTCGGCTCACTGCAACCTCCGCCTCCTGGGTTCAGGCAATTCTCCTGCCTCAGCCTCCTGAGTAGCTGGGATTACAGGCATGAGCCACCATGCCCAGCTAATTTTTTTGTATTTTTAGTAGAGATGGGGTTTCACCATGTTAACCAGGATGATCTCGATCTCTTGACCTCATGATCCACCCACCTCGGCCTCTGAAAGGGCTGGGATTATAGGCGTGAGCCACCACTCCCGGCTGAAGCAGAAGTTTTTGATGTGCCCAATAGGAAGAAAGAAACAGGAAAATCTATAAACAGAAGACATAAGAACTTAAAGTTTAGACTACTTACAAGACAAGGAGACATATGCATCTCAATGGTCCCTAACAGATTTTAAATATAATAAACTGATGCTGCTGTTGACAGTCCTGAGTTATGACTGAAACGTTAATGTTCATTCAGTCTATTCCATCTGACTGATTAGGAATTGATAATTTTAGGTAGACTTCTAAAAATATGGATAAAGTAGAATAAAATTTGATACCTCAAATAACACTTAATATTTACTGGGGGCTTACCACGTACTAGAAATTATTATGAAAGTTCAACACGTTTAGAGGAGGTTAGCTTCAATGATCTGGAAAAATTCAATTATATGAGACATTTCAGTCCTCAGAGGCACTGGTTAAGGCATCATCATGTTATTACAGTTTTCCAGCATCCTGTCAAAGCTTGCACTTACCTATAGGGACAAAGGGGGAGTCTCTAGATTTCCTGATTAGTCGGGATAATTGGCTTTCATTCTCATCTGTTGACCACGGGTTATCTGAAGACATTCTTTTCTGTAGTAACAATAGGATATAAATGTGGTTGCCGTGAATCATTAAAAATAATTTGTCTTCCCTCTCCCATCACACTCTCGATTATGTGTTCTTTGTCTTCATTTGTTTGATAAGCCCATCTGCTCAACTGAAAAAAGCAATTGTCTTTCCTTCACACTTTTCATTACAGAATTTTTTCATTTTGCAGGGGAAGGGAATAAGAAAAAAATAGAAAAAAATGATAATTAAATTTTGTGAATACAGAGTAAAAACACAGATCATAGTTCTGTTATTCAGTCTCCTTTCACTGCTCAGCATTTGAGATCTTTGGGAACCTCAGGACTTCTTCCACAAGCACTGTATTTGAAGAACACAGTTTCTTTTTAAACTATCATTTTAGAGAAGTATGGCAGTGCCAACATAGGGAAAAATACTTCCAGATTTACAGGTATCCGGAGAGTGATCACTCCAACTCTGCAGAATGTGCAGGGCATTATAAAGTCATTCAGATATTTACCAAGCACCTCTTGTGTGCCAGTTACTATGCTCAACAATGGATTCCTTGTCCAGCCTGGCTTATCTATATAGGATGAATGAAGAAACTTGCAAAAGCAACCATAATCACAACAGGTTTAGCAGCACCTGAGTCTGTTCCCTGTGCAACCTATTGTGTTCACCCCAGAATTCAAATACAGCGGCTTCATCCTATGAATGAGCCTTCATCAGAAAACGTAAGTGTAAAAATACCTGTGTCGTACCGGCTGTCTCCTGATGTTCCTTCAGCAAGAGGCTGTAGATCAGAACAGGTGTTTGTTGTAAGGCAGGACACAGTGATGTGCAATTTCCAACTAACTGATAATAGGAAAGCCCAGAAACACGCCCCAGGGGGCTGGGGGCGTGGTCAGCTGGTATTGGCCAAGACCGCCAGCATCCTGCCAGAAACTCACCTGGGCCACAAACTAGGCTCTCAAAGCCAACATTAAGAAAAACATGAAGGCTTTGGAAGAAGACGCCTTTACTTAAGTCTGCCTTCACAAGGGAGCTCCTGACTTCCCTCTGAGACTGTGAGTCTTAGTACCTGACTCCTGAGCCCACAATTGAGGGGAAAGAGGGCACAGGGTCACAACACTGGGCTTGGAGGGGAAGGGGAACGGACAGCCATCAGAGGCCAGGATTCTTGCCATTCTTCAGAAACGCGCGCTAGCCGGAGGAGAGGTGCACGCACTGCAGCTGGAATCTCCGACTGGGGCAATGAGAGCTCATCACCGCTCACCTGGCGGTGGGGCCGCTGCAGGTGCGCCTCCTGCAAAGCCTTGAGCTGCACGCGCACCCGGGGAAGGACGCGATGTTGTGGCACCTGCGGCCAATCCCTGCGCCTGCGCGTAAGACCTGAGTGGGGCAGTGGAGACCCGAGAGAGGCTGTGGCTCTTGAGGCGGGCGGGTGTTGGACGTGGCCTTCACTTCAGTTCTGACCTCATGGCCTTGGGGCCCCTTGAGACTCTGGAGAACGCATTGCTCACCGCCTCCCTCCAACTGCAGCCATGTGGACCTCGAGATGAGGGCGGAGGTCCAGGTAGGGTTCATGGTTTTTCCCTTGTAATTTAATGTTTAAATGATTTAGACTTACAAAAAAAGTCCCCAGAATAGTACAAAGAACTACGTGTCTGGTACCTACCTTTTCCTTTATTAACATGTTTCTTTCTTTAAAAAATAGTTTTGGCGAACCACCTGACAGTAAGCTGCAGACTATGCCTTTTCCTCCATATGCTTTTGTATGCATTTGGGACATCATTTTATTATATAACCATAGTACGGTGTTCAAAATCAGAAATATAACATTGATATCAGTTTGTTTTCCAATATAAAGATTGTATTCATATTCACCAGTTGTCCCAATAATGTCCTTAATTTAAAAAAAAGTTCCTGGTCTAGCATCCACTTAGGATCATATATTGCTTTTAGTTATTCTGCCTCTTTAGTCTCTGATGTCTCCTCAATCATCTTTGTCTTTCATGACCTTGATTTTTGTTGTTGTTGTTGTTGAGAAAGAGTTTCACTCTTGTTGCCCAGACTGGAGTGCAATGGCGCAATCTAGGCTCACCATAACCTCCATCTCCCCGGTTCAAGCAATTCTTCTGCCTCACCCTCCCAAGTAGCTGGGACTACAGGCATCTGCCACCACACCCTCACTAATTTCTTGTGTTTTTAGTAGCAATGGGGTTTCACCATGTTGGTCAGGCTGGTCTCAAACTCCTGACTTCAGGTGGTCCACCCACCTTGGCGTCCCAAAGTGCTGGGATTACAGATGTGAGCCACCATGCCCAACAGACCTTGATGTTTTGCCAGTGCAGGCCAGTTATTTTGTAGGATGCCTCTCAGTCTAGTTTCCCCCCTGCCTCACTGATGTTTTCTCACTAGATTGAGGTCATACATTTTGGGCAGAATACAACAAAAGTGATACTGTGCTCTTAGTGTGAAATATCAGGAGGCACAGAAAGTCGAATTGCCTTCTGGTAAACTTTGATCCAGTGTGATGCTGATAACTATTTAACAACTGGTTCTGGAAGGGGAGATGTCGCCTTGATCTGTGGCATTTGCCGTTGCCCCATTCTGTGTCGTAAATACTCCCATCATGGCCGATTTCTAAATAGAGTCTGTCATCATGGACCACAAGGCTAGAAAATGTCCCTTTCCTGGGTTGGTAGGAGTGAGCTCTAGCACACCACTGCTTGGATCATGTGGATTAGGGTGGCATCTGCCTGGTTCTCTGCTGTAGTTACTGTTTTTTTTCCCCACTTTTAAGGCTTATCAAGCCCTCAAAGCCACTCAGGCAAAGCAGGCACTTTTGGCAAAGAAGGAGCAGAGGAAAGGAAAAGGGCCCAGGTTTAAGCGATTGGAATCATTCCTACATGATTCCTGGCGGCAGACCCGTGACAAGGTGCGTGTCAGACGACTAGAAGTGAAGCCTCACGCCTTGGAATTGCCAGATAAACATTCCTTGGCCTTTGTCGTATGCACTGAAAGGATTGATGGTGTGAGTTTACTGGTGCATAGAACCATTGCAAGACTTCGCCTAAAGAAAATTTTTAGTGGTGTCTTCGTAAAAGTCACTCCCCAGAACCTAAAAATGCTGCGTATAGTGGAACCTTATGTGACCTGGGGATTTCCAAATCTGAAGTCTGCCCAGGAACTCATTTTGAAACGTGGACAAGCCAGGGTCAAGAATAAGACCATCCCTCTGACAGACAACACTGTGATTGAGGAGCACCTGGGGAAGTTTGGTGTCATTTGCTTGGAAGACCTCATTCATGAAATTGCCTTTCCGGGGAAGCATTTCCAGGAGATCTCATGGTTCTTGTGCCCTTTCCACCTCTCAGTGGCCCGTCATGCTACCAAAAATAGAGTGGGCTTCCTCAAGGAGATGGGCACATCTGGCTATCGGGGTGAGCGCATCAGTCAGCTCATCCGCCAGCTGAATTAGCACCAGGTGAGGCAGGGCTGAGAACTGCTCTTGGACTGAATGTGGGTGTGCCATGCCTTGCCACTTTAAAAGTTCTTTTTGCATTTACTAGTTATTAAGAGTAACCTTGAGATTGGGAGGAAAGAGGAGGCGGGTACAAGTAGTTGGAGACCTGGGTGCAATGAATGCCTGATTGGGACATGGGGCTATGCATAGCCTAGGAGTTATAGGCTTAAAAATGTCAAGTAACTAAAAACTGTATTGCTGTAGTCATTTAGATGGAAATTAGGAAAGAATAACTGATTGCAAAAAGGACTTGAAGATGTGAATTATCTATTTTGCTGAAGAAATCTTAACTCTTTGAAATTACATTTTATTCCTGTTGTTATTACTCTAGGTGCCAAACTGCAATAAATTTTTATCAATGAAAAAAAAAAAAAAAAAGAAGCTGCTTGGAGCCCAGAGATGAGGGTTCTGAGGCAGACTGTGTGTGGGTTGCATTACAAAGAAGACTGTGATCCATTAGCCATACCTGGCCTGGCAATGCACGTTAGAAGTGTCTGGAAGTAGGGTTTTGGGGGAATGGGCTCAGAAAGGGGCAAGATTTATGTTCTATTCCTGCCTTGGGTGGTGGCTTGGTTCAGCTACCCAGGCTGTGTTGTCTCACTGCCCACGCCTGAATCCCAGCACTTTGGGAGGCTGAAGCAGGCCGATACCTGAGGCCAGGAGTTTGAGACCAACCTGACCAACATGGTTAAACCCTGTCTCTACTAAAAATACAAAAATTAGCTGGGTGAGGTGGAACATGCCTATAGTCCCAGCTACTCAGGAGGTTGAGGCAAGAGAATCTATTGAAACTGGGAGGTGGAGGTTGCAGTGAGCTGAGATGGCACCACTACACTCAAGCCTTGGTGACAGAGCAAGACTCCATCTAAAAAAAAAAAAAAAAAGGCATTCAAAGAATAATGGGACATGTCAATAGATAAGAGGAGCCAGCTTAAAGGGGCTTCCAGTAGTGAAATCTGGGACAATTTGATCATTAGCATAAATAATCAGGGCAGTCTACCTACTAAACTACAGGCGGGTGCCATGTCAGCCGATAAGCATGTCCAGAAGGGACCCCCTTAGTTGAAAGGCATCGCAGACCTCAGTGTGACCAAGCAGAGGAAGAAAAAGAAGGACAAAGACAAGGCAAAATTCCTGAAAGCCATGGCAATGAGCCAAAAATCAAGGGGGAGAAGCAGCACAGCCTGGGCAAGTGGGCCCCAGCCCAAATGGCCTTAGAAAGATGCAAGAGAGGCTGGGCACAGTGGCTCACACCTGTAATTCCAGCACTTTGGGAGGCCGAGGCAGGAAGATCACGAGGTCAGGAGATCGAGACCTTCCTGGCTAACGCAGTGAAACCCCTCCTCTACTAAAAATACAAAAGTTAGCTGGGTGTGGTGGTGCATGCCTGTAGTTCCAGCTATTTGGAAGGCTGAGGCAGGAGAATCACATGAACCCGGGAGGCAGAGGTTGCAGTGAGCCGAGATCGTGCCACTGCCCTCCAGCCTGGTGACAGAGGAAGATTCTGTCTCAAGAAAAAAAAAAAAAAAAGAAAGATGTCCTAGGGATCTTGTCCTCCTTCTCTGTTATAGCTGCATAGTCCTCCACTGTGTGAATGTAACATGGTTGAAGTGCTCTCCTAGCTGTGAGTGAGCATGTAGGCTGGAGACATTACAGCAAACAATGTTGCAATGAATCACCCTGTGCATATATGTTTTCATATTATTGAAGGTATATTTTCAGGGTAAATTCCCAGAAGTGGAATTGCTGAGTCAAAGGAAAATTAAAGTTTAGTTAAGTGACTCTTTCTCCACTGCCTGCCCAGCGCAATGTGTGGTCAGACTTTTGAAGTTTTCACCAATCTGATGTGTGAGAAATGGTACCTTACAGCAGTTTTGATGAGCATTTCTTGTATTGTGAGTGAAATTGAACATATTTTCATATGTTTAATGGTCATTTTGCATATTCAAAAACTTATTTGTTGGGTTTTATAATTTTAAAGTTACAAAGAGATCGGGGAGGATTAGAAGACATGGCTGAAGTCATCAAAGGATTCTGAGTCAAGCGATCATGTGGGGAAGGCTCCAGAAATAGAAATGACAATTTTAGCATGGGGAGATGTGTCAGAGACAAATGTGAGCTCTTCTACAAATGCAGCCTGATTTTCTTTTTGAAACTTGAGTGTACAGACTGTATTGTTCCCTTGTATTCCTCATTCAGTTCTTCCTGCAACTATTCTGCCATTTGACACTGTTCTCATCTTGTCTTTCTTATTTACTTATTTGAGATGGAGTCTCACTCTGTTGCCCAGGCTGGAGCTTAGTGGCATGGTCTTGGCTCACTGCAACCTCGGCCTCTTGGGTTCACGTGATTCTCCTGCCTCAGCCTCCCAAGTAGCTGAGACTACAGGTGCCCACCACCATGCTCAGTTCATCTTGTCTATTTTAGACCAGTTTGATGCCTCACTGAAGGTTTCATTGATGTGTTTTATCTTTAATGTATTTGCCAGTTTAACCAATATGGTAGGCAGAATAATATCGCCTCTTCACCACTCCCAGAAATGTCCATATCCTAATTTCCAGAACCTGGGAATATGTTATAGTACATGAAAAAGGGAAATTAAGATTGCAGATGGAATTAAGGTTGCTAATAATCAGCTGACCTTGAGTTGAGAGCTTGTCCTGGATCATCTGTGTGGGGGAAAATGTAATTACAACAGTTTTTACAAGAAGGTGGAAGGTAGGAGAATGAAGTCAGGTTGAGAGATTTTTTTTTTTTTTTTTTGAGACGGAGTTTCGCTCTTGTTACCCAGGGAGTGCAATGGCACGATCTCGGCTCACCGCAACCTCTGCCTCCTGGGTTCAGGCAATTCTCCTGCCTCAGCCTCCTGAGTAGCTGGGATTACAGGCATGCGCCACCATGCCCAGCTAATTTTTTTGTATTTTTAGTAGAGACGGGGTTTCACCATGTTGACCAGGATGGTCTCGATCTCTTGACCTCGTGATCCACCCGCCTCAGCCTCCCAAAGTGCTGGGATTACAGGCGTGAGCCACCGCGCCCGGCCGAGAGATTTGAAGATGTTAGATTGCTGACTTTAAAAATGGAAGAAGGAACCATGTGCCAAGGAGGGAAGACAAACTGGAAAAGAATGTAGTCTCCCCCAGGGCCTCCAGAAGAATCACAGACCTGCCAACACCTTGATTTTAGCCTAGTCAGACCTGTTTTGGATGTCCATCTTCCAGAACTGTAACATGATAAGTTTGTGTTGTTTTAAGCGACTTAGGTTATGCATTAGAGCAGCAACAGGAAACTAATACAGGTGACAGGTGCCCAACATTTTTCTGTATAGCCAGTGTGCTCCACAGGGTAGGAAAGGGTGGACGTGTCAGAGATCCATTGAACTCCCACAAAAAGAAGTCTGTAGATTAACAAGGACTATAAGGAAGGAATACTGGTGAAGTAGAAGTGGAGCAGCTGTAGAGGGTTGAAAAGACCCATGAGAGAATGGTGTCCAGAAGCCACAGGAATGGAAAACATCTTAAGGAACATGACAATCAGATATTACACAGATCAGACATAGGATGAAGCCCTTATTTATTTATTTTGAGGCAATGTCTTGCTCTGTCACCTAGGCTGGAGTGCACTGGTGTGATGTCAACTCACTGCAACCTCTGCCTCCCAGGTTCAAGCAATTCTCCCTGCCTCAGCCTCCTGAGTAGCTGGGACTGCAGGCACCTGCCAACATGCCCAGTTAATTTTTTTTTTTTTTTTTTTTTTTAGTAGAGACCAGATTTAACTATGTTGGCCAGGCTGGTCTCAAAATCCTGACCTCAGGTGATCTACCTGCTTCAGCCTGCCAAAGTGCTGGGATTACTGGGATGAGCCACCGCACCCAGACAGATTTAACATTTTTAAAGATTTGACAGTGAATGGAGGATGAAAAGGCAGTAACTTGAGTGCAAGGTAAAAGTAAGTTTTTTTGGTGGTTCCCCACCCCCTCGCCTTTTTGAGACAGGGTATCACTGTCTTCCAGGCTAGAGTTCAGTGGTGCAATCATGGCTCATTGCAGCCTCAACCTCCCAGGCTCAAGCAGTCCTCCCACCTCAGCCTCACAAGTAGCTGGGATTACAGCCACACACTACCACCCCCTGCTAATTTTTATATTTTTTGTAGAGACATGATTTCGCCATGTTGCCTAGGCTGGTTTTGAACTCCTGACCTCAAGTGATTTGCCCTCCTTGGCCTCCCAGAGTGCTGGGATTGATTACAGATGTGAGCAAAACGTCATGCCTGGCCAGGTGTGTTATTTTGTTTTGATTTTACTGGAGGAAAGTGTGGATTTTAGGATATTTGAGCACAGGTGAAGAAATTCCTGGAGAGGGGAACAGTGAAGATACAAAATGAATGTGACTCAGCAAAAGACAGACCTGGGAGAGAGGAATCAAGAGCCCAGGGGTATTACTGCAGAACCTGGGAAGATACCTCATCCTTAGGTCAGGAGAGGAATCTGTGAGGTTCTTACATGTCCAGTCTAACTCACTGGCTCATTTTTTTCTTTTGTGGAATGAGAAGTGAAGTCATCTGCTAAGAAGGAGGAGTATAGACATGAGTAGGGTGACTTGAGAGTATCAAGTTTTGGCTTTTGTGGCAGCTAAAGGTAAATTACAAGATTTTTTTGTTGTGTTTTTTGAGACAGAGTCTTGCTCTATTGCCCAGGCTAGAGTGCAGTGGCACGATCTCAGCTCACCAAAACCTCCACCTCCCAGGTTCAAGAATTCTGCCTCAGTCTCCCAAGTAGCTGGGACTACAGGAGTGCTACCATGCCCAGCTAATTTTGTGTTTTTAGTAGAGATAGGGTTTCACTATATTAGCCAGATTGGTCTCAAATCTGCCCACCTCAGCCTCCCAAAGTGCTGGGATTATAGGCATGAGCTACCGGGCCCGGCAAATTACAAGATTTATAAGTGTCATTGAAAATCTAGGGTGTTTAACTTTCTCCTGAGGGTAGAAACAGAAATGCCTGGGATTATTTGTACATTTAACAAAGATTGAGTGCTGCAGATATGATACAAGGATATAAAACAGGTGTGTTGCATCAAGACACTTAGAGTTAAGGAGAGATAAATGAGTAAACCAACATTAGAGCCCACTGGAAAGGTGCACTTAATAATTCTGAGTTGTGGGAATAGCCTAATTAAACTGTTACTTAAGACTGGGCGTGATGGCTCATACCTGTAATCCCAGGACTTTGGGAGGCCAAGGCAGGCAGATCACTTGAGGTCAGGAGTTAGAGACCAGCCTAGCCAACATGGAGAAATCTCATCTCTGCTAAAAATATAAAAATTAGCTGGGTGTGGTGGCAGGTGGGAGGCTGAGGCAGGAGAATCACTTGAACTTGGGAGCTGGAGGTTGTGGTGAGCCAAGATTGGACCACTGGACTCCAGCCTAGGTGACAGAGTGAGACTCTGTCTCAAAATAAATAAATACATATATAAAAATAAACTGTTACTTAAGAAAGATTGTCTCTATTCTGGAAATGATGAGTAGGAAGACAGGAGGAGTGAAGGTGTGGAGGTATAGAGACCAATGTGCAGCATTTTTAGGTATTAGACACTATGCTTTAGATCAGATATTGGTGCTTATCTAGGAAGCCACTTCTTTGCACCCCAGGAAAATTGCTTGCTAAGCTTCTGTTTTTGCCATGCTATGTTAGTGGGGTGATTGGACAAAGAAGGGCAAGAAAGATTGAGTCAGTTGCAAAAGGAGTCTTTTTCTACTATTTTATCTAAACTTAGTATCTTCTTTGCTTTCCTGTCATATCCTTTGAGAAGTAGGCAATAACTGGCAAGTTCTCACACCAATGGTTTGTTATTCCAGCCATCCCTAGTCAACTCATACAAATAGTTATCTAGGCACTAGTTCTTAAACTAAGGTGATGGTGATAGCTATGGAAATGGAGTGGAAAGGATAGAGGAGAGGTATGTAGAAGTGATGGTTGCAGTGGGCCATCTGGAGCAGCCTTTGAGGATGCTAGCTACAGTGGGGGAGGCATAGCCAAGGTTGCAGAGCCCACAGGGTCCAGGCCCCTTGCTCTACTGAGTTGGCAGGGTGGGAACCCTGTGCTCCTGGAGCAGCTGCAGCCAGCCAGCCACAGCTCTGGACCCAGGCATCACTGTACTCTCAAAAGTCTAGGAAGCCCCTTGCTCCTACAGACTTGGAAGTGCCTTCTCCCTGGCCTTTCCCTACTCCCAGTACTCGCTCTGGTGTGGAACAAAGTTGTAGCTGAGCCCCAGTGCTGTTGCAACCCAGTGGGGGTGCATGTACTCAGGGCAGTGCTGACACTCCAGCCTCCTGCCAGCCCCCTGCCGCCTGGGTCCCTTCTGGACTTTGGGCACCAAGGAGTGTGGGAGGGGTGGGGGAGGCTGAGGGCAGCTTGGAGGGGGCCTGCAGGCACCCCTCAGCATGGACAGTCTGGGTGCTGTGTAGAGCATATTGATGGTGGAGGGAGGTAGATCAGGTTCCTAGGCTGGGAAGGGCAGGTACCCAGTGAAATCCCACCTTCAAGCCAGGGACAGCCTGAAGGCTGGGGCTAGGCTGCCAGTTCCAGGTAGAGTCCACAACTCAGAGTGAGAATTTCATTGATGAACATTTGGCCAATTAGATAAGGCTTTTTCCAGGCCCATATGTAACTGCCCATGGATCCATCAGCACATACTTCCTCCATTATGAGCACATAAAAACCCCAGACTCAGCCAGACTCACACACTCAATGAGACAACCTGCCTGCAGATAGCAGTTACCCACTCTGGGTCTCCTCTCCACTGAGGGCTGCACACTTGATGTGACATCCTGCCTGCAGAAAGGAGCTACCCACGTTGGGGCTCCTGAGAGCTGTTTTGTGGCTCAACGAAGCTCCCTTCTGCCTTGTTCACCCTCTAACTATCCACATACCTCATTCTTCCTGGACATGGGACAAGAACTAGGGACCCACCAAATGGTGGGACTGAAAGAGCTGCAACACAAATGGACTGAAGCACTCACCACCCTTCTGCCACTCTTCCCACTTGCCACATTACAGCCAAAGAGAAGAGGAACTGTGGCCCTTCTGAGAGTCCAGACCTAAGGCCTCTCCAAGTCAGGGCTGTGGCATGCTATAACATGTCACATATAACTTTGAGCCTTCGGGATCACTGGTGCCTCCAGGTTTTTCAGATGCCACTGTATTCCCTTCACCCAGATGCCAGCACCCAAGCCAGAGGCAGGTCATGGCATGGCTGGCCCAGCTGTGAGCAGAGTGCAGATCCCATGGAAAGTGTGGGATCTGGGCCAGAGCACAAGCCAAGAGCAGCCCTTTGGGCTGAGGTGGTCAGGTATCTCCTGTGGTGGGCCTAGGGTGGAGTGAGGCCCTGGATGGGGTGTCACTAGCCATGGAGGTCTCCAACTAGCAAAGCCGCACCAAAAAAATTCCTGTCAGGGACTAGGCGTGGTGGCTCACGCCTATAATCCCAGCAGTTTGGGAGGCCAAGGCAGGTGGATCATGAGGTCAGAAGTTTGAGACCAGTCTGGTCGATATAGTGAAACCCCATCTCTACTAAAAAATACACAAAATTAGCTGGGTGTGGTGGTGTGCACCTGTAATCCCAGCTACTTGGGAGGTTGAGGGCAGGAGAATCGCTTGAACCTGGGAGGCAGAGGTTGCAATAAGCTGAGATAACACCATTGCACTGCAGCCCTAGCGATGGTGTAAGACTCCATCTCAGGAAAAAAAAAAAAGAAAATCTTGTGTCAGAAGAACAGGTAGTACTTATGATGAATTAATCAGTAAATACTTTTTGAGCACCTGCTATGTAATAAGGACTGTGTCTGACATGTAGAAGAAAGGAAGAAGAGACTGGTGATGTGAAATCTCACCCCTGGGTATTAGTGAGTGAGAAAAGATTTCTCAAAGAGGAAGTTTCTTGAAATAGCCAGAGAATGCTTTGTAGAAGGGGCATCACTTTATATAATCCTTAAATAATACAAAAATAAGATAGGTAGCAGAGAGGTTAGAAAGTATTGTTTATTTAGTGAAGGAGACAGTGTATTCTGGTTTTCCTGTGTTAAATTCTAAATATCAAAGATTGGCAAAAGTATGAGGTTTAGGAATCTTCTTCACATCAGTGGTTGTTCATGACCTAAGAGTGGAAGAAAGGGTCAAGGGATTGAACATAGAATAGTACAAAACAGATGAGTCTTAGACCTTCACAGTGAAATAGTGGAGGAGGGAAAAGACAGAAATAAGGAGGCCTTGGACTCAGAAGACGACCTTGAGAAGCCTGCACTTCTCAGTCAGGCAAACTACATGGGAACACTGGTGTGGCTACTCACTGCATGGCCTTTGACAAGAGATACAACCTCTGCAAATCTGTTTTCTCATTTGTCAGATGGAAATAATTGTTCCTACCTTGTAGAGTTATGAGTACTATGTGAAATAATTGTTTAAAAAGTCAGTGCCAGCCAGGCATCGTGGCTCATGCCTGAAATTCCAGCACTTTGGGAGGCTGAGGTGGGTGGATCACCTGAGGTCAGAAGTTCAAAACCAGCCTGACCAACATGGAGAAACCCTGACTCTACTAAAAATACAAAATTAGCCAGGCATGGTGGTGCATGCCTGTAATCCCAGCTACTCGGGAGGCTGAGACGGGAGAACCCGGGAGGCGGAGGTATGGTGAGCCAAGATCGCGCCACTGCAGAACAGCCTGGGCAATAAGAGTGAAATTCTGTCTCAAAAAAAAAAAAAAAGTGTGAGTTGGGTGTGATAGCCCACGCTTGTAATCACAGCACTTTGGGAGGCTGGGGCTGGAGAATTGCTTGAGCCCAGGAGTTCAAGACCAGCCTGGGCAATGTAGCAATATCCTGTTTCTATAAATAAATAAATAGTGCCTTGCATAAAGAAGATACTTAAGAAATGGAAATTATGGCCGAGTGCAGTGGCTCACGCCTGTAATCCCAGCACTTTGGGAGGCTGAGGGGGGCGGATTGCCTGAGCTCAGGAGTTCAAGACCAGCCTGGGCAACACAATGAAGCCCCATCTCTACTAAATTAGAAAAAATTAGCCAAGCATGGTGTTGTGTGCCTGTAGTCCCAGCTACTCGAAAGGCTGAGGCAAGGGAATTGCTTGAACCCAGGAGATGGAGGTTGCAGCAAGCCAATCATGCCACTGCACTCCAGCCTGGGTGACAGTGCGAGACTTCGTGTCCCAAAAAAAAATTTTTTTAAATAAAATTATTAGGTATTTAGGACATGGAGTAAAAAGGATTATTCCAAAGAGAAGTTTGACATTATTGTCAGATACATTTTTAAAGACTGCGAAACATGCAGCTTCAAGTGAGACTATCATGCTTTTTACTTTTAAGAATGTTAAATTCTGGGGCTGGGTGTGGTGGCTCATACCTATAACCCCAGCACTTTGGGAGGCTGCGGAGGGAGGATTACTTAAGCCTAGGTGTTTGAGACCAGCCTGGGCAACACAGTGAGACCTCATCTCTACTAAAAATAAAAATATTAACCAGTATGGTGGTATGTGCCTGTGGTACCAGCTACTTAGGAGGCTGAGGCAGGAGGATCACTTGGGACTGGGAGGTCGAAGCTACCGTGAGCCAAGATCACACCACCTCATTACAGTCTGGGCCAGAGACTCTGTCTCAAAAAACAACAAAACAAAAAGTCAATTCTGAATGGTAATTCTCCTAGTTCATATATATGCTCCCACATAGTTCTCTGCAGGTTCCCAAGACAGTTTCCTTTAAAACAAAGTAATGCCTTGCACATTGCCTGGTCCATTATTTCCTTTGCCCTTGGTTCACTTGACCTCTGCTCTGTTTCTCTGGCACCAGGATTAACCAGTGGGTCCATGGTTCAACATGAAATTCTTCTTACTATTTAATGTAGCCGAATGCTTCTGGTTTTAAATACTGAGACAGTTAAAGTGATACTGAATAGTTTGCTTTTTTGCTTTTGTTGATACTTGTTTGCTATGATTCATCAGACTCTTATTACTTTAACGGATAAACAAGAATTTCAGCTACATTAAGTTCTGTTTTGTTTTGTTTTTTTGGTTTTTTTTTTTTGAGACAGAGTCTTGCTCTGTTGCCAGGCACCGGGCTGGAGTACAGTGGTGTGATCTCGGCTCACTGCAATCTCTGCCTCCTGGGTTCAAGCAATTCTCCTGCCTCAGCCTCCCTAGCAGCTGGGACTACAGGCGCATGCCACCACGCCCAGCTAATTTTTGTATTTTTTAGTAGAGACGGGGTTTCACCATGTTGGCCAGGATGGTCTCGATCTCTTGACCTTATGATCCGCCCACCTCGGCCTTCCAAAGTGCTGAGACATGAGCCAGTGTGCCCGTCCAAGTTCTGTGTTTTCTAAAGCAAGACCAGAGGGGAAGGCTTATGGGAGAATCAAGAGAGCGAAAGGAATTATTACGTAGTGTTTGCTTCACTTTCTATTCAAGTTTGAAATATGTATGAATTCAGATGAAACAAATATTAGAACACTTATGAACAAAGTGTTTCAGAATATAGATATAAGACATTTTAATGTATCTTTTTTTGTCATCCATTAAAATAAGTGTTTGGCTCATTGTCTCAGGGTCTTAACAAGATTTAGGAAGAAACTGATGGAAACAGTAACCATCCTATAATCTGCCCTGGAGGCTCTGGTGCCAGCCCTGCCTGCTTTCTTTCAGTTCCTTGAATATAGTGAGTTTCCTCTTTTCTCTTGGCTGTGGCACAAGCTAGTCTAGTTGGCTGAAAAATTTTTTTTTTTTTTTCATTTTGTGGAATTCAGCTCACATCTTATTTCTTCAAGAAAGCCACAGAGCTTCTAGGTCGGATTACATTCTCTGGGCACCTTGAGCTTGCTTCCTCATCGATACAAAACATTTTCATCAAAATTGTGTGCTCCATGCAGGAGGGATATGTCTAGTTTACTCAGGGCTCTAAGCCAGGTACCAAGAGCAGAGCACACGGTAGACACTCAATAAATATCTGTTGAATGAAGTCAACATATATTAAGTGCCAAGTGCATTGCTTCATTTACTCCTCGCCATAACCTTTTAGGTAGATATCCCCATTTGCAGATGAAAAAACAGATAAGTTGCTCAAGGTGACAGAGTCAACCAATGACACAACCAGGACTTGGCCAGGTCACTTTGATGTCAAAGCCAGTGTTTTATTTTGTCTTTTACTTTCTTTGTTGCAAGCAGTAATTCTACTGAAAATCCAGTGTTATAAGTATTGTACTATATGATCTCTGACAGGAAAACAGGCAGGGTCTGATAAAAATCCAGCGAAATCCAGATTTCTTCCTAAATCTTGTTAAGACCCTGAGACAGGGTCTTAACAAGCCAAAGGCTTATTTTAATGGCTGACAAAAAAAAAGATACATTAAAATGTCTTGGATTTATATTCTGAAACATTTTGTTCCTAAATGACCTAATATTTGTTTCATCTGAATTCCATATTTCAAACTTGAATAGAAAGTGAAGCAAACATTATGTAATATTTGTTACCTAATAGAGCAGAGGGGAGGGCAGACAGGACCTTAGATTGTCTGGCCTCTGGCAACATTATTTGAGCTCTGCTCAGGCTGTGCCTGAGGCTTTCTGCCCCTATGATTTTCCCTGATTTGGGTTGATGGAGTCCTTTTTCTGCTTAAGCCTGTTTGGATTGGAACTCTGTCACTTAGGATCAAAGGATTCTTAACTAATATAGGATCTAAAAGACATTGGACATGTTTTGCCTTTTTTTCTTCTCCCTTTTTCACAGGCTGATATCGTTTCCTCAAGCTCTTTAAATGATTATAAATGTGTGTTCTCTGGGCCCAAGGAGGGAAGCGGTAACAAGGTGTCAGGGCAGTGATTATGAAAGGCGGTTCCTGGTCTGTGGAGTCAGGGCTTCTAGGACTTGCTCAGTTACTTGTGGAATGACTGTAAGAAACTTCATTTACTTACTTTTCTACACCTCAGTTTTGCCTGTGAAAAGTGAGGATGATATTTGCCGCACCACTTAGACAAGAGGGAATTGATAAGGCTGAGCCTAGGACTTTGCACTTCGGTATTATCTTTCAATGTCATGGCATCTCACCATTTCAACCTGTGGCTTTTCATATTTCTCAGTCACTAGACTGACCTAACCAACAGTGAGATGGGTAGATTAAGGAGGTTCCTATTCAGGGAAGACGACAGAGGAAGGAGATTCATGTTCCAGAGAGTAGGGAGCATTAGATGTGCATTGATCCTCACTGCATCCTTTTCGTGTCCAAGAGGTACTTAAAATAGTAAGTTTCCTTTCTTTCTGCTCTGTGGATTTCACAAATGGGATCTTTAAACTTGAACTTTTTTGCTTTTTTAAGGTAGCCAAACATGATCACATTGTTGAACTTTTGAACTTTTCAAAACCCATTCTGATACTTCCAAGATTGCTTTGTCTCAAATCCATTATCTGTGTTTATCGTTGCCTGGCTGTCGAAAGAAAAATCTCTATGTTTAAAAAACTAAAATTTTCACAATGAAGGAAAATCCTCCCAGAGACATTAAGAAAAAGGAAACCAAGCCAGCAGAGATAGAAACCATATTTCTGTTCCTGACATGAATGTGAATTTATTGGTTGGTTTCATACTTAAAATAGTACTTTTGCAAAATCATCTCAGAAAATATACTACATTTATTAAAACTCATACAAACCATTGCAGAAAATATTAAACCCTCTAACCAACCTAACACTTGCTTTCAGAGGCACTTGTGATGATTTTCACAGCTTCCATAGTTGCAAAGAAGAAAGAAATCATCTTGGAATGGGGTGGAATTTGATGAGAATAATCCAAAAACTATTTGTTTACTTCTTTACAGACTCACAGACAGCTTGATGATTAGGGGCTCCTACATAGTACACCTAATTATTAAAGGTTTTTCTAATAATGGGCTTTTTCATTGCCCACAATCTACTATATTCAGCAAAGTTTGTGCTAGATAATAAGGAAAATGAACCCAAGAATCTTAACCGCCTCAAATAGTTTTATGGATATACTAAAGTGTCAAGTACAATCTTTATCTTAAGGCTTGAGAACTGGAATGCAAGAAAACAAACTTTGGTGGAGTACTGGAATAAGACATAAAGCTGGGCAGCACCAGGTGTGACAGCCTTGGATGTTAATTCTGAAAGCCAGAATTAAGAACAACAAATAGGTTCAGATTTCTTTTTCAGAAACTTGCGCTATTTTGGCCAGGCACAGTCTCATGCCTGTAATCCCAGCAATTTGAGAGGTGATGGTGAGAGAATCACTTGAGCCCAGGAGTTCAAGACCAGCCTAGGCAACATAGTGAGACCCTGTCTCTATACGTTGTTGTTGTTGGTATTGTTCGTTTGAGACGAAGTCTTGCCCTTGTCGCACAGGCTGGAGTGCAATGGCACCATCTCAGCTCACTGCAACCTCTGCCTCCTGGGTTCAAGAGATTCTCCACCTCAACCTCCCCAGTAGCTGGGATTACAGGCGCCTGTCACCATGCCTGGCTAATTTTTTTTTTTTGTATTTTTAATAGAGATAGGGGTTTTGCCATGTTCGCCAGGCTGGTCTCCTGACCTCGTGATCTGCTCACCTCAGCCTCCCAAAGTGCTGGGATTACAGGTGTGAGCTGCTGCCCCTGGCACCCTGTCTCTGTTTTTAAAACACAATTTAAAAGCAAAAAGAAAAGAAACTCTGTGCTGTTTAGACTTAGATTTTTAATTAGCTAGTATTTCTTAATTCAATGAATTATTAAGACCTTTTCACTGCTCCCTTTTTAAAGTCTTCTTTGAGTGATTTAACTGCTTCTTATCACCAAGCTCTCAAAGAGAAGATGAAATTAAAATCTGTTGGGTAACCATTTAAATAAGACAACTGGGGAGGCCCATTTCTCTAGGACTCTTCTCTATAGCAGAGAGCAATTGCCTTTCTTTTGCCTAGTAAACCTCTGCTCTAGGCTTAAAAAAAAAAAAGAGGCAATTTGAAAAAAATTTGAAGTCGATGAATAAACTAAGATTTGGGGATGATGGTAGATGTTAATTATGAAAGTTCAGTGTTTCCTTTGAAGAGGGAGTTCAAACTGTTTTTTTTGATGTGAATTCTTTGGGTGACGATAGAAAATGGCTAAAGAGGATATAACAGAAACTGTTAGGGATGGAATTCAACTTTACCTAAAAAAGATTTCAGGCCAGGCACGGTGGCTCATGCTGGGAGGCCCAGGCAGGCAGATCACCTGAGGTTGGGAGTTCATGACCAGCTTGACCAACATGAAGAAACCCTGTCTCTACTAAAAATACAAAATTAGCCAGGTGTGGTGGTCCATGCCTGCAATCCCAGCTACTTGGGAGGCTGAGGCAGGGGAATTGCTTGAACCTGGGAGCAGAGGTTATGGTGAGCCAAGATCACGCCACTGCACTCCAGCCTGGGCAACGAGCAAAAACTCCATCTCAAAAATAAAAAACAAAACAAAACAAAAAAAGGTTTCTCTTCTCCCATGTAGCATTTTAAATGTAAAACCGAGACTTTAAATTCTTTGAGCCATTCAGCTCTTTACTGCCAGCTCACACTATTTCACAGCATATCCATAGACATGAGGGCGCACCAACTCCCAGGGCAGGGGGGCCTGGATGTGCTGCAGCTTCAGCTTAGAGAAGTTGGCTCGCTCCAGGGCCTTCCAGCTCTCTCTCGTCAGATTGCACCCATCAAACAGAAGGTACCAGGCAGGATCCAGGACCTGTTGCCAGAAAGAATTCCAAGTCGAACGCTCAGCTGCCACATGCTCCATGAAATAAAAAGCCCCTCCCTGAGGAGAAAGAAGGGAAAAAAAAAAAAAACCCACACTTTTCAAAGATTTTTTTTATTTCTGCTTTTTTTTTTTTTTTTAAATTGTTCCCTGGCACTGCCTTGCAAACCTTTGAGAGAACCATAGAATTCTGAGCAGGAGACTCACTCCACACTAAGCACACCCTTGAGACTAAATAACCATGTTTGTTTCTTTGTTGTTTTGAGACAGTTTTGCTGCTGCTGCCCAGGCTGAGTGCAGTGGTGCGATCTCGGCTCACCACAACCTCTGCCTCCTGGGTTCAAGCGATTCTCCTGCCTCAGCCTCCCGAGTAGCTGGGGTTACAGGCATGTGCTACCATGCCTGGCTAACTTTGTATTTTTAGTAGAGATAGGGTTTCTCCATGTGGGTCAGGTTGGTCTCAAACTACTGACATCAGGTGATCTGCCCGCCTCGAACTCCCAAAGTGCTGGGATTACAGGCATGAGCCACTGCACCCAGCCTTAAATAACATGTTTTTAACTTTTGTATCATTTTCACAAATAAGTACATGATATGATTAATGAAAATACAGATACATCTAAAATCGTTACTGAATTCAAGGTAACATTTTCTCATTAGGTAATGAGTCAGTGATGCTAAATGTAAATGACTGCTCGTAGGAATTAGCAACTGCTGCTTTCATCAAGGAGTCCTATAGATTGGTCACGTAAGGCCAGGCGCAGTGGCTCCCACCTGTAATCCCAGCCCTTTGGGAGGCCGAGGTGGGTGGATCACTGAAGTCGGGAGTTTGAGACTAGCCTGACCAATATGGAGAAACCCTTTCTCTAAAAGAAAAAAAAAAAAGGATTCGTCAAGTATAGGCACAGTATATGTTATTACATGTTGTGGGTGGGGGGGCGTCTTCAGAAGTTTCCTACCAACTACCTCTGAGGGGAGTAGGGAGAGAGGGACCAGACAGTCACCTCAAAAAATCTTGGTAACTGCCCCACTCTTCTTGGCCTCCTCTAGCTGTCCTAGTCTTGGCCCTTTAGGCAGATTTTAGAGACAGAGTTCAGTTTAGAGATGGAGTTCCCCCAAATTATATGGGTAAGTGCAAGACCTAGGTTAGGAATAGAAAAATTGGAATTTCCTGATTTATTATTTCTTTTTTTAAAAAATCAGGTCAAGACGCGGTGGCTCATGGCTGTAATCCCAACACTTTTGGCCAAGGTGGATGGATCACTTGAGGCCAGAAGTTGGAGACCAGCCTGGCCAACATGACAAAACCCCATCTATACTAAAAATATAAAAGTTAGCCAGGTGTGGTGGCATGTGCCTATAATCCCAGCTACTCAGGAGGCTCAGGCAGGGAGAATCAGTTGATTCTGGGAGGTAGAGGCTGCAGTTAGCCAAGACTGCACCACTATACTCCAGCCTGGGTGACAGAGCAAGACTCTGCCTCAAAAAAAAAAAAAAAAAAAAAAAAAAAGGAATATTTGCATTTGCATTAAAGAGAGCCAAATCTACTACCTGTGTGACTTTGGGCAAATTCCTTAATCTCTCTTAGTCTAACATGTCCTAACATTTCTACTTTAGAGGACTGTTGAGAGAGGGTAAAAGGAAAATGTAATAAAGTTCCCGACCGGGCCAGTGGCTCATGCCTGTAATCCCAGCACTTTGGGAGGCCAAGGCAGGTGGATTGCCTGAGGTCAGGAGTTCAAGACCAACCTGGCCAACATGGTGAAACACCATCTCTACTAAAAATATAAAACAATAGCCAGGCATGGTAGCATGCGCCTATAATCTCAGCTACTCGAGAGACTGATGTAGGGGAATTGCTTGAACCAGGGAGGTGGAGATTGCAGTGAGCTAAGATCTCGCCACTGCACTCCTGCCTGGGCAACAGAGCAAGACCCTGTCTCAAAAAAAAAAAAAAAAAAAGAAAAAGAAAAGAAAAGAAAAAGAAAATGTAATAAATTTCCCTTATTATATCCAGCAGAGAGTGGGCACTTAGCAGAAGCTAAGGAAGACTATCAAGAAAGTGATACCTTTAAGAGTTGAATTGATTTTTGGCACTGTAAACTGAGATAATAATTACCTTCCTTGCAGGGGCGTTGTGAGATTAGTAATGCTGTAAGCAAAATATCTACTAATGTGCCAGTTAGTGTCCAGTCTTAGGACATAAGAACCCAGCATTGGGGTATAAGAATCAGTCCTTCTTTATTTACTACTCTGATATTGAGCCGAAGACAGGATGGTATGATTGTCTCTAAACTCTATCTCCAAGTTCTTTTCTTCCTGAGGAACTTCCTCTATTAGAAAATAAAACTGAGGGTCGGGTGTGGTAGCTCACACCTGTAATCCCAACACTTTGGGAGGCCAAAGCAGGAAGACCACCTGAGCCCAGGAGTTTGAGACCAGCCTGGGCAACATGGCAAAACTTTGTATTTACAAAAATACAAAAATTAGCTGGGTGTGGTGGTGCACACCTGTAGTCCCAGCTACTGGGAGGGTGGGGAGGCTGAGATCTTGAGCCCAGGAGGTGAAGGCTTCAGTGAGCCGTGATCGTGCCACTGCACTCCAGCCTGGACAAGAGAGGGAGACCAGGTCTCAATAAAAAATAGACAAAACTGGGGATTACAGAACATGTCTTTCTCCAAGAATAGTAAATTCAAATGTTAACATATCCATTTATTTAACTTTTTTCAGAATATAAAATGAGTTTAAACTAGCTAAAAATAATAAGGGTAATATGTGAAAACTACATACAGGTTTAAAGAATTATAGAGTTTACAGAAAGGTTTAAAATGAAAAGTAATTCTTTCCCTGAATCCAACCTCATTCCCAAGTGGTATCCACTGTTAATAGTTACTTGTCTAGGCTGGGCACAGTGGCTCACATCTGTAATCCCAGCACTTTGGGAGGCTGAAGTGGGCAGATCACCTGAGGTAGGAGTTCAAGACCAGCCTGACCAACATGGAGAAACTGTGTCTACTAAAAAAAAAAAACAAAATTAGCCAGGTGTGGTGGGGCATGCCTGTAATCCCAGCTACTTGGGAGGCTGAGGCAGGAGAATTGCTTGAACCCGGGAGGGGGAGGTTGCCGTGAGCTGAGGTCATGCCATTGCACTTCAGCCTGGGCTACAAGAGGGAAACTCCGTCTCAAAAAATGTTACTTGTCTATTGTTCCCATTAACATACACACATAGATGTATGTCCTCTCTTGCCCTTACACAATGGGCACGCATTCTGTGCCTTGATTGCTTTTTGTTCTCATTAGACGTTATCCCTTGGGGATTTTTAAATATCAGCACAGATAACTCTTCTTGTTCTTTCTAACAGCTGCACGGTGTTCCTTTGTACAATGTGACAACTCACTTACACAGCATCCTATTGATATTTAGGTTATTTCCAGTTTGTGCTATTACAAATACTACTTAATAAATATTCTTGTGTATGGACAAGTTTTTGCATGTAGGATAAATTCCCACTGGATAAAAGAGTATGTGTGCTTTAAATTTTGAGGTTATCAGATATCATCCAAAGAGGGTACCTCTTCTAATGGGTATGGTGGTGTCCAGTCCCCCAAACCCACCCCAGCACTATCCTGACCTTAAAAGAAGCCCCTAACTGTATAATAGGTAAAATTAGTTTCTTTAGCTCTTTAATTGTAAGTTTGAGCATTTTTTGTAATGTAATTGGTTTATATTTCTGTTCCTGTTATATGCCCCTACTGATCATGTTGACACCTAATGTCTTTTAACATGAGGGAAGTTAACTCTTTGTCATCCCTGGAAAATACTTTTTCTAAGCTTGTTTTGTACTTTAACTTTGTTTTTAGGAGTGTTTCCTTTTTTTTTTTTTTTTTATACGGAGTCTCACTCTCTGGTCCAGGCTGGAGTGCAGTGGTGTAATCTTGGCTCACTGCGACATTTGCCCCCAGGTTCAAGGGATTCTCCTGCCTCAGCCTCCTGAGTTGTGGGAGTACAGGTACCTGCCACCATGCCTAGCTAAGTTTTGTATTTTTAGTAGAGGTGGGGTTTCACCACGTTGCCCAGGCTGGTCTTGAACTCCTGACCTCAAGCAATCTGCCTGCCTTGGCCTCCCAAAATGATGGGATTAGAGATGTGAGCCTCTGTGCCCCGCCAGGAGTTTCTTTCTTTATAGTAGTTTTAAGTTTTTGTATTCAGATTTATCAATTGTTCTCTTTATAGCTTCTTTCCCACTCTAAAAAATTTTTTTGACAGTCTTTTCTAGGAGTTTGCTTTTGTGTGTGTGTATGTGTGTGTGTGTGTGTGAGAGAGAGAGAGAGAGATAGAGAGAGAGAGAGAGAGATAGCGAGAGACGGAGTCTCACTTTGTCACCCAGGCTGGAGTGCAATGGTGTAGTCTCTGCTCACTACAACCTCTGCCTCCCAGGTTCAAGCAATTCTCCTGCCTCAGCCTCCTGAGTAGCTGGGACTACAGGGGTGTGCCACCACACCCAGCTAATTTTTGTATTTTTAGTAGAGACAGGGTTTCACTATGTTGCACAGGCTGGTCTCAACCTCCTGACCTTGTGATTCACCCACCTTGGCTTCTCAAAGTGCTGGGTTACAGGCATGAGCCAGAGCTGCTGGTGCAGTGAGCCGAGATCAAGCCACTGCACTCCAGCCTGAGTGAGCCGAGATCGCGCCACTGCACTCCAGCCTGGGCAACACAGTGAGGCTCCATCTCAAAAAAAAAAAAAAAAAGTTTCAGCCACCTGAAATTGACAGGACTGCCAGCTGTGATAATGGCTGCTACTAATCAGTCCTTCTCACACCCTTTCACCCGGTCTCAGCACTCTGCGCACCTCGCGGAGAATCTCCTCCTGGTTCACCACAGAGCACAGCACCAGCGTGGAGACCACCACGTCCATAAAGCCATCGGCCACCTGGTGCATGTTGTCCCCGGCAGCTACCACAAAGCGCTCAAACTGCAGGTGACGGTTCTCAGCAATGCTCTTGATCAAAACTTCTCAAAGTTGGGGTTGGGGTCAATACAGGTCACCCTGCACCCAGGTGGGTAGAATTTGAAGTTGGTCCCGGTGCCACAGCCCACCTCCAGCAGGGAGAGCTTCCCGGAGGGGCCCGCAAACTCCTGCAGGTTGCTGAAGAGCTCCCGCTTCTTGCTTGCCATCTGTTCATTGTACATCACAGAGAACCTCACCAAGAAGTAGGGGGGACCATTTTTTGCACATCCAGCTCCACAAGCCCAGAAAGTTCAGCAGGTACATGGGAGATGCCAGGATGTAGATGGCCAGTCGCAGGATAAAGATGGTAAACTCCATTGCTCAGAAGCGGAGGGGAAAAAAAAAACCCCCAACAGATCAACCGTTAGAGACCCGGCTCCTTTAACTGTGGGAGAGAGGCTTCAGGCCACACTCCAGAGCCAATCAGCTGCAGAGGGAAAAAAGAATTGGCTGTGCTGCAAAGTCAAATCGTGGGCAAGAGGCCCATTTTGCCTAATTAATAGATATTCGGCAGAAGTCAGCTCAGCTTAGTTTCCATGAGTCAAAATGAGAAGGTTGCCAGCTTTTCCTTAGAAGGAAAGTTGATTATAATCCTTCATTCCTAATCGATTCCTGTTTCCCTTCCCTGGGTTTAGAGACGACTGCTGGCTTCCTGCTTGAGTTTTACAAGCCCAGTTACTTATGCCCCACTGGGCTCGTCAGTGACCTCTAAAAGAATTCGTGGGCGGAGCCTGCTGAACCCACACCTTTATCATAACACGCCCCCCCTTACTTCCCCACGCCCGACCCTGTTTGGTTTTGTTTTTTTCTATTTCTTTTTAAAAGGAACTGAAAGGACATGCATGGCCGGCCACAGTCAGCAAGAATTCTCCCTTTTACATTCTGGGCAGAGGCTCTCAGTGTTCCTAACTCAACAACAGGATTATTTTTGTAAACCGGAAATAAAGTTGTAAGGTCCTCCAAGCATTTGAATGGACTTTCTCCTCGGCCAGGGGGTTCTTAAAATGTAACCTGAGAGACTGGTTCAGGCCATGATGGGAAGTGGGGGTCAGACGCCAACTTATACTTTTCCGGCATTCACATCAACACAGACCTTAAGTACATTTACAATCTATTCTCTCTGAAGCTTACTACTTGGAGGCTTCATCTGCACCATGAAACTTCTGTCTCCACAACTCTTACTGCAACCCAGATATCTCCTTTCTGTCGATCCTAGGTCTTTAGATGAACTCAACCAATTGTCAATCAGAAAAATTTAAAACCTACCTGTAATGTGGAAGCTCCCCACCTCGCCTTGAGTGGTCCTGCCTTTCTGGACGGAACCAATGTATTTCTTAAATGTATTCGATTGAAGTCTCATGTGTCCCTAAGATGTATAAAACGAAGCTGCATCCTGACCAGCTTGGGCACATGTTCTCAGGATTTCCTGAGGGCTGTGTCATAGGACATGGTCATATTTGGCTCAGAATAAATCTCTTTAAATATTTTACAGAGTTAGACTTTTTTTTGTCA